CTCATCGAATGCAGCTTTCAAAAATGACAAAAATGAGTTCGAATTAATTAAGAAATTAGCTAACGAAGATTATGTAGATGCTCAATATAAACTTGGAAATTGTTACGACGAAGGCATCGGTACCGAGATCAACAAAGCAAAGGCATTTGAATTTTATAAAATAGCTGCTGATAAAGGAAATAATGATGCCCAGTATAAATTAAGTTTTCTATATAAATCAGGAGAGGGTGTTGAAAAAAATCTAAAAGAAGCATTTGATCTAATTAAGAAACTAGCCGAAAAGAAATATTTAGACACTCAATATCAGCTTGGAACTTATTATGATAAAGGCTTTGGTACGGAAGTCAATAAAGAAAAAGCGTACGAGCTTTATAGAATAGCCGCAGAAGAAGGAAATTATGACGCTCTATATAATATATCTTTATTGTATGAATTAGGAGAAGGAGTTGATAAAGATGAGAGAAAAGCATTTAATATTCTTAATAAACTATCAAAGAAAGAATATTTAGATGCTCAATTCTTACTCGGATATTTCTACGAAAAAGGGATCGGTACTAAAGTAGATATAGCAATGTCATATCACTTATACAAAATGGTTTTAGAAAAGAAAAAGGAAATTGGTAAATCTGATGCACAATACCGATTAAGCTTGTTATATAAACTAAGTGAAAGAATTAGACCCGATGAAATAACTGATATCGATATAAGCAAGAAACCAACAACCGCCAAAGTTAATAAAACGTTATTGATAGTAGTAATATTAATAGTTCTTTACTTAACGTCATTTACATTTGGTATTTATGATGGAATAGTAAAGGATATCGAAGGAGATCATGCTATAGATGAATATGGTGTAGTACTATATAATTTAGCTCAATATTATGTCAAAAAAGATGCTTACAAAGCTTTCAGTTACTATAAAAAGTCAGCAGAAGAGGGATATTCAAACGCTCAATTTAGACTTGGAGAGTGTTACAGTTCTGGAACTGGAACTAGTATAAATAAAGGAAAGGCATTCGAACTATATAAAGTAGCTACAGATAAAGGAAATCACGATGCACAATATAATTTAGGTGAACTATATGAATTAGGAGAAGGGATTAGTAAAGATGAGGAAAAAGCATTTGAATTGATTAAAGAATTAGCTGAAAAAGGATATTCAAATGCTCAGTATAGACTTGGATACTATTATGAAAAGGGAATTGGGACCGATATCAATATGTCAGAAGCATGTGAGTTATATCAAACAGCTGCAGACAATGGAAACGTAGAGGTTTTAAAAAGTTTAGATAATCTAATATCTAAAAAGCAGTGTCATTTACGATAAATAACATACTAATTAACTGAATATAATATATTCAAAATTATTAGATGAGGCATAGGGTCATGCATGAATATCTTTGCTGTCCTAGAATGAAATATAGCGACATAAAGAATTACAGCCATCCTTTGACATCATAGAAACAAAAACATAGGTCAATAGAATTTGGCTGATAAAGAACTACAGTACTTAATTCTAATAATTCTGAACACCGATACAAATTTAGACCAATGGAAAGGATTTATTGCAAAAATCCAATCGAATTCAATAAGAAAATAATAGAGGTAATGAGGTAATAAATAAGCATATTAAGCAATTATGACAATTGTACAAATTCAATTGATTTAAATTAACTAAGTAATTATGTTGATGGTTAGCGGCGAGTTTTTGTCAATAATTATAAGTTTTGGGAAGTTTACTTCATTACCGATTTTAAGGAACCAATAAGATGGGATAGTTATCCAATTGGAAAAAATACAGATATAATTCGAAAAAAAGATCGTTCACTGTACTGATCCATTTGGTGAAAAATACTCAATCTGGATTATACGTCAATTTAGACGGATTTATATTTGGCGCTGTTGAAGAGTAGTTATATTTTGACGCTTTATTCTCCATATATGGGAAATGAATTACAATTAGTGTCGTATTAGCAAAAGTTAAGTACATCATGCGCTATTTATTATAATATTCTAGAAGTAGAGTAGAATTTAACGTATTTTGATAATGTTATAATAAATTTCAATAAGTGATACAATTGTTGGTGACAACAAATTTCATTGTAAAAATTTAGATTCTTTCAAATATACAGTATAAATAAATTGGTTTCAATTAATTAAAAAATAATAATAATTGATTTTAATTGTAGAAAAATCGATATTGTTAATTAAGAAACAATATTAAAAAATTACACATCATTAAAATAAATCAAATTTCTTTAACTAACTAACAAGTGACTTTTAAAAATATCTAACGATCAAAATAGCTTAAATCGGACATTTGTGAAATCCTAAAATGACCAGTCGCCCATTAATTTTATTTTGTTTCAGACTCATAATTTATAGTTATAAATGTGTAATATCCTACTTAGGATCAATAATTCGATGCTAACCCCCACTATAACTTATAGTAAACAATAATTGATACTGTTTTAGTTACATTAATTTCACATAAATCACTTTCTTTTTTTTTTTGTATACTATATTACATACCTAATGACTTCATTATCTTTAATTATACAATCATTCAAATCTTCACTTGCTAGCATTTTACTTACTTTTTTACTAGTAAAATGACTTGCACGATATGCTTGTGAATTTTCACTTTCGAGAATTTCATTCAATTTTTTAAATAAGCGACTTGTATAACATGCTTGTGGATTACTATATCCAACTGGTGCATTTATAAACTTCGTAACATTGCATTACAATCCGTCATTAATATTTTCAACTTTTTTTCCATAATCCATTCTTCATTAACATTTAAAACTTCTTCAGAAGATGGCCTTTTTAGTGGAACACTTTTTAATCAAATCTACATAACATTGTGGTGTATTTTCAATAATTTCAGGACGTTCATACTTAAAAAAAAGTTGGATATCATGTGCTCTATCATTAAATGGTGGGTGAGTAATTTTTGAGCGACATTTTGTAAAAAATTCTCATCTTTTATTGTGCAAATCACGCGATTCAGATGATCAGCATAATTTCTCCGAACCGCAGTACATAATTATTGAAATCGCACGTACATTTATTTAACCTGCATTGCATCGATAATCCACACAAATTGTATCCTATATGCCCATTAACTGACCCCCGGGTCTGAGCGACGCACAGGAAAAACGTTCTAGGAAGGTTACCAGAGGTAACAAGTCAGATGAATCTACCGAAAAATCCTCTAGTAAAGAAAGCGAAAAAAGCTGGTGGGAAGAAGGTGTCGAATACGCTGAAAAAACTTATCAAAGCGTTGCTGATCTTTCTGATGGTGGTAGGAGCTTGGAAGAAACAAGTGAAAGCGCAAGTAACTTTTTACAACTCTCTGGGAGAATTGATCATGCCGAATCAAAAATGAAGAATATCTCGAGGTCTCATTTTCATTTTTGGGAAGCTGTATATAATCTATACAAGGAGTTAAAACCCACTTACGACAAGGATAGATCTCAAGTGTTAGTTAAAAAAGAGGTTATTAGGGTGGAGATTCCAGAGACAAATGCTCTGATAAAGCTTTGCGAAAAAGGACAGAGAGATCCCAAAAGATATATAAACTTTTAATAGCATAGGTAAAGAAAAATAGCACGGATTAGATCTATTCCCTCATCATATACGTCTTAAATCTAACTATAGATGAAACTAATTATATAATTGCTGAAATTTTAACGCAGAAGGTTTGACGAGCTTGGACAAGCTTGTCCAGCCTTGGTCATCATTTTCAGGAGAATATGGTAACTTTTTTTCTTTTGAAGTCTTTGGCTAAAATGTTTTAATAAGTTTACCCACAATTCAGGCTTATATTTTTATTTGCTTTACAAATGTGTATGAGTGCATGTAATGCATTTAAATATGTAATATTTTTTTGATCGTTGCGAAGTACTGCACCATAAATTATCACTTGACATACTGTACTACGCCACACGATTCATTCATTCTTCTGCGCAATTTTGACAGACTCAGTATTTAAATATTGAATCAAGTGAACTTTACAAACATTTGAATTTCAAGTGTATAAGCACGTCCTAAATGTATGACAGGTTACTTACTCCAAATATATTGTTTAAAGTATGTAGAATTGTAGATTAGTAATACTTATTTGTAATATGCATTTATAAATAAAGTTGTGATTTTATTGTGAATATCAAATAAAATGAGTTGTGGCCGAATATTAGTAAATAAATGTAAATTGAAATTTGCAACATAAATTAAGTAACATTCGTAAAACTATTCACCAAAATTTGCTATCTGAAATTGTTCCGAATGTTAACTGCCGAACTTTAGGCGAGTGGCAGCGAATTGCAGCCAAAAAATTGGCTAAAGTTTGACCAGCATTAGACTATAAATCAGCCTAAAATCAGCTGGCTGAATTTTGGCCGATTTGGACTATTTTGACTAGTGATTAGGAATGTTATTAGATTGCTCAATGGTTTCGGCTTAACTTTGTCTAAATACAGCTTAAGCTTATACCAAGCTTCTCAATTGAGTTAATTAACCCATTTTATAAAAACTTGAGGTTTAATATTATGAAAAAAAAGAAACAATATTGTTGAAAATAAAGAAACCGATTTTTCAATATTATATTTATAACTCGAAAAGTGAAAACTTTTTTCATATAAGCTGTTTTTGTGAACAATCAAATTGATACATGGAATTATATAAAAATATAATAATAATTAGTATAACATGATCGTGAATCAAAACAGGTCAACGGGCGTTAACCTATCAATTTTCCAATTTCTTTAAAACATAATTTTTCTATCAATTACTTGATCTCCACCATAAGGTGAGAGCTCGATGTTTATAAAAAGGGTTACCTCCAATATACTCATTTCTCTCTTTTAGAATACTGGAATCGTGACCAAGTTCATGGGGAAGTTTAAATGACTGGAATGGGTGTACAAAACGTGATGCACATAAATCATTGAGTTTTGGGCTTGATATCCTTCTTGAGGATTTACCAGTTGATAGCCATGGTTATTCCAAAGGAAAAGTCTTTAGAGGTTAATATATTCCTTTTTATCATACTTTAGGAGCACATTACATGTTCTGCAATTGATTTTTTTCGCACAAGGCAAAATGTTTTTTGCCTGAAGTGGGTAATATATGCGTGGTGAGGCAGTTGATTAGGTCATTGGTAATGAAGTTTTTGGTTTACAATAATACTACTTTTTCTATTTCATTGTTTTCTCTAAGAATTGTAATAACTATCCTGAAAATAGGTTATTATGAGAAAACCATCTCTCAAGGTTGGGAACACTAGCTGTCATGGATCAAGTAAATAAAGTATGTTTAGACTTTGGTTTTTTTTCATGTATGTCATGCTGTAAATATTTACAATTTTCTTATAATTAGTTATTATTATTAGCGTGAAATTTGAAGCATCGCTGTACAAGAAGAAGTTGAGAGATACAAATCTGAGCAAGCGTCAAAATTGTCAGGAAGAAAGAGAACATCAGAAATATCAAGTTACCACGAATAAAAGTGAAATATCTTCTGATGTCAACAATAATGAAGATGGAGAAGCTATAAAAATCGACCTAAAAAGAATTTTAGATGAATTTCTACGTGAACTGGAAGTCAAAGTACGCTACTTGATAAAATTTTGACTCCCTTTTATTTCATGTATCTCAAAAATTACTTCCAATATTAGGTTGTATTAACGTAACTGATCGATTTCGGTGGTACTAAATAGAAATTATTAAGAATAAGAATATTTACAAGTTATTGTATGTACTCTAAATCATTGTAACATTTGGCTAGCATAACAATCAGAATATATTAAGCAACTTTTTTCTCATTATATTTCTCGAATATCGTGGAAAATGGCGAATCGAAATAGTCGCACTTTCATTCAATGACATATAAGTTATATAATTTTATAGTATACATGAAATTATGGCTTATATTGTTTTTTTTTACATTACATATATGATGGTGTTACGAAGGTTCCATTAAAGATGTCCAAAAAAGAACATTGTTTAAATTTTGTTTATCTGTTAGCTCGCCTATTTTCCAGGTGAAAAAGGATATAACTAAGAATGAACGAAATGCAGGTTCAAAGAAAGGCTGGACCTCTCTTCAGTCTCCTGCGTAATAAATGGTGTACCAATCTTAAATTCGGAGTTTAAACCTCTAGGATGCACACCATTACAACAAATGAAAGATGGATTGAAAGTTCAGTTAAAGGCGATTATATGAAGAATGATTTTTTTTTGATATACTGAATATTGCTGATAATCAGGTGACTTGATGGAGTCATACTTTATGGTTCTGGAATACAATAGGGTCATTTCTCATGACCGGACTGGTAATCGATAAAACTACAATCCCACTTGCAGAAGTTGCAATTCACCATTTGTTGGCTTTAGAGGTATATGATATGTTTTCTTTGAGTTTATTTGAGAAATTTTGCTTAATTCATTTTCTTAACTTTATAATGGCAGGATCGTATGTGTTGAAAAGATCGACAAGGACTTTAAATATTGAAAATGCCACAATGGAAAACTACACCGCTTCAATGCGTACACTACCAAATTCTCCACAAGTATAGAACTTAATTCATTAGGACGGAAAAAATTTTTTTTTTTACTTCGTAAACTTTGTTGGTTGGCTCTCACCTATCTTGCAGATAAGTGATCTGGTATTTACGCTGGATATACGTGCTGATTTCATTTTATATATTACCGTCAATAACAAAAACTAGTTTTTTAACAATATAACAATATATAATTATTTACACATAACTAAATGCTTATAAAAATGAGCGATTGAAATTATTTTTATATTACCGCGCTTGATAATAATGCAATGTCTGTGACATATATAGGATGGTAACTTTACATTGCTAAATTGGAAGAGCTTTAGAAATTTTCTATCCTACACTACATTATATCTACAATCTACTACAACAGATAGCAGCTTGTTTAGTATAAATAGTTTTATTAATGTACAGTATATAAACAAAAAATTATATTTACTAGTAATAATGTAATTGTAAAATTTTAGAAATTGGAGAATTTAAAAAGTTTAACCAATTTGGAGTTTTTACTAGATAAGAGTTGATATTTTGAATATGAATCATATATATTAATAATAAAATATTTTTCAATAATTCATTTTATTTCATAACTATTAATTGCAATACTAATAATAATAAAAAATAAATAAATAAAATAAATATATTCACTGCATTCTTAATATTATCGCATCTCTTTATGCGTATAATTTTTCGCCTTATATCACACCCTTTAATTTCTCATTTTTACTATTTGAGAATTTGAATTCATAACATTCGCCTAAATTATATATTGCAACTTCATTCCCATTTTCTGCTGCTTTTTTAAACCAATAAAATGCTTTATTAAAATCTTTTTCTACACCTTCTCCATTTTCATATAAATTACCAAGATTATTTTGAGCTCTATCATGATTTTTTTCAGCTGCTATTGTATAAAATTCAAATGCTTTTTTTTTATCAATTTCATCAAATCCATGATCGTAAAACAATCCAAGCTGAAATTGAGCATCTAAATATCCTTTACCAGCTAATTTTTTACACAACTTAAATGCTTTAACATATAATTTCTTATCGCAATATTTTACTGCCATATTAAACAAAGAAGGGACTTCTTTAAACTCATTTTCCATATATCCACAATTTTTATTTAAATTATTAGGATTGATTTGAGCAATCTTATTTTCTTTATTTTCATTAATATCAAGTTGAGTGCTTTCCTCTAATAAAATATTTAATACATTAAAATATACTGAATGGTTGTGTAAAGTTGAATTGTCATTATTTTCAGGAACAATAACATTGAAATTTAAAGCATTTATACTTTGTTTTTTTCTTAATTCTAAATTTGGTTTTCCTCCTACAGTTAAATAACTTTTTTCTTTTACATTATTAAGTTTTTCAGGAAATATCATTTCTTTATTAAGTATTGGAAAAACTTGTATTTTTAGATAATTTTCTTCAAACTTCTGCTGACATCCTAATTAAATAAATAAATAATATAAATCTATAATTTCACTCTTTTATTAAAAAATGAATAAATAAATATGAATTTACCTGAAAATATTCTATTATCATCATCCTTAATATAGAATGAGTTACACACAGTAGAGAATATAAATCCAAATCGAAAATTAAATTTAGCACCTAGATATCCTTTACCAGCTAATTTTTTGCACGGTATCAATTCTGCTTTATTAGAAATTTCTTTAACCTCACTATCTATACTTTCACAATTTTTATATGAATTATTTTGAGTCACACACTTATTAATAACTTTAGTTTCATAACTGTGACAATAATTAGGTTGAGCTATTCCCTCAGATTCATTTAAAAAATTATCTTGAGAATTAACATTACTTTTAGAATTGATAATACTTGTTATATTTTCTATTATTAAATCATCATTTTCATCCGTTATAGAATTTATACTTGTTTTACTTAATTCAAAATTAGATATGTCTTCTGCGGTTAAATAAATTTCTTCTTTTTCATTATTACTATTAGAAAATATTATTTCTTTAAGTGTTGAAACAACTTGTTTTATATCTGGACGCTTATTTTCTTCAAATTTCCAACATTCTATATATAACATAAATTTTATAATTTCATTCTTATTTTCTGTTAAAAAAATATATAAATAAATAAATAATAGATAATTTACCTTTATATAAATTAATGTACTTCACAGGAGTACCATTAATAGGTTTTTCTCTTTTTCCCCTTAGTATATCTAAGGCTAATTCTATATCATAATCTTCAGTACAAAATGGTTCACGTCCACTTGAGATTTGCCACATAATTACTCCAATACTGTAAATATCAGATTTCTTATCTAATTTATGATTTCGATTATTGAAACACTTTGGATCGATATAAGGTACTACTCCAAATACAGTATTGCAACTACTATTCGATTCTTCTGCAATTTTTTTTGATAATCCAAAATCTGCTAATTTAATCTGTTTGTTATGTATAAGTACATTATTTGCATGCTAAAAAGAAAATCCAAATTCTAACGATAATTAATAACAAAGTGAGATAATAATTATATCAATTTATAAAAATTTATTATTACCAGATCACGATGAATAATACCACATTCATGTATACATTCTACAGCACTTGCTAGTTGAAACGCTAACTGATATTTATCGTACCAACCAAGTCCATTAAAATGCGTATTTAAATAACTTTTTAACGTACCACCATCCGCATACTCTAAAACTAATAAGTATTTCATTTGATGAATTTGTTCTAAAATTATAAAAAAAATACGATTAACATAATCCTTACAATATGGAAACTTAGTTTCCTTAATATGCACGCAGTAACTACTACAAATTTACCATATTTTTTTTATTATATGGTTACTATTATACTTACAATATAGTTACAATAAAGTTATCGCATATTATGTTAAGGAAAATAAGTTTCTGTAATGTATTTTTCAAAAAAAAAAAATAAACAAATCTTACCAGACTCTTCCGTGATACCGTGGAATCGCAGAATATTTGGATGAAAATCAACTTGTTTATGTAATTTTATCTGTAAAAAAATTTAATGATTTTTTTTTTTTTTAAAAAAAAAAATAATTTACATTTGTAAATACCTCATTAAAAACTTCCTTGAGAGTTAACTTGTTATTATCAAACGACTTTAAGGCCAAAAGGGTGTCGGTTTTTTTCCAATTAACACGAAAGACTTTTCCAAAATTTCCACCTCCTATTGGTTGTCTATCGTTAAAATCATAATAGTCAAACTTATTAATGTATCCTTTTGAAATTGACTCTTCAACCCATTCGTTACAATTGCCGTAATTGTTGCTATTTATTTTTTTAACGTTTAGCATTTTGATAAAATTATTATTTAGTCCCAACGAACTGTAACGACGTACTTATATCTATTTATCAAGCTAGAAATGTCTTAAAGTGGAAATTGTTCATTGTTCATCAAGGCGTTTTTTTTTGATAATCATCTATCGTTAACAAATAACCTCATTCAACTGATTCCATAAATAATTTCATTGTGGTCGAAAAAAAAAAATTCCGAAGTACAACACACCTATGTGGGACCTTTTAAATTAGATAAATTTGGACTAATAAAACTAATAAATAACTTGCTGTGCTAGGAAATACAATAAAGGGCCCTGGATTGTATATCGGGTTAAAATGATCACCGCAAACAAAATGTAGTACAAGATCTTACAATAGAGTAACTTTCGTTTTTAAAATGGGTTTGCTAAACAAACATGCTTCGAGCTTTGTTTATTAATTAGTACTCAAATTATTCACTCCTCTTGTTAATTTCATTAAATTACTTCGTTTAATAATCATTCATTTTGTTTTGTACTCCTCATCATTGTTATTATTTTTAGCATCTCATCCTGGCAAACAGTTTATTAAGATTAATAAACCCATAAATTTTAATAATATTAATTAATTTAAAAGATAGAAATAAAAATCTTATTACTGTATTTATTATTGAGAAATAATTTATTCATCACACTCGCGATGTTATCGCTACCCTTTGTCAACCGTGTCACATCATTTCCTTTTCTTTTGTATTCTGAAGACATTTTTTTTTTGTTGTATAATTTCTCCCTCTTTGTGTCACGTGTATTAATTTTGGGCGGCTTTACGTAATTTTGCCCATAGGTGATGCGATGAATAAATTTACTCTATTATTGCCTAATAATTAATCAAAAAATTGTAGGAAAAAGCATCAAAATAGTTATTGAATCAGATCGGTTAAGTTAACACTTTTTCGTCAAGCCATACAATTAAAGCGGTGGCTAGTTTGGTCATAGGACGGTGCATTTGCTATAAAATATATTCATATGTTCATTTTTTTTTACTACATAATTGTACTAATTGTCCTAATTGTCGGAAGTCGGAACGAAGCGAAGGACGCCATACTTCTACGAATTAGTTGACTGTCGATCATAAGGACTTCATTCCGTTTGTCACGTCGTGTCTAATCTGATTGGAATTGATAGAAAATCAAAGAATTCGTATCATACACAAACCAATAAAATCGCAATTTAGTGTATTACTGCCGATTGAATAAATTGAATCTTCGGACTTTGCAATGGTTCTAGTTCCTTAGCCGTTTATATTATTTAATTTTTAGTGGTTAAATATGCTATTCTACGTTTATTTTTTCGAAAAATTGATTTTGTTTAATACTTTTTTTAATATTTTTGTAATTTGTAAATTTTATAATTTACAAGACTAATCAATAATACACAGTGAATCGTCATATGAATGTAACCTAATTTCAATTTTCAAATCCCAAATCTCAAATTTAAGTGCAAAACTTTGAACCAATAGATCAAAAATACAATACATCTAATTAAACTTAGATATAATTATTATTTTAGTATTATAACTAATATGCTATTCAATTTCTATTATTACCATCAAAGCATTTAATACTGAATTTGTTTGTAAAATTGCTGTGGCATTTTCAAATGGTTTGAGAATTTGATTAATTACCGCATGAGATAGACTGAAAGTTGATATTTATTTCAAGAACTGGTCACAAAAAATCTATCCAACAACCTGACATACATATTTCAACAATTTTAATCGACCGTTAGCTAAGAATGTTCTCATAACCTTCCTTCCTATGAATGAACAACGTGATATGTAGCCAATAAAATCAATTGCACATGATCGATTCAACGTGAACGATAATTGCCTAAATTCCTACAAACTTCAATGTTAAATATTAAAATCAAACTCATTTATTATGCATGTGGATTGGTGCAGGCAGTAATGATGTTAGGTACACATGCCTGCACTAGCACTAGTAGGATCACATGATTTACTATTTTATTTCATTTTACATTAATTAAAAAATTCAAAAAAAAAAATTTTTATTGGATAAAAAATCAAAAAATGAAAATTGTTTGAATACGGCACTTTCTTAATGTGTTCAGTTGAAAAGCCAGAAACGAATATGTAAGCCACTTTTACGTTTTAATCACTAAGCATTACAAACTATGATCCCGAATTGATGTATAAGCCACCAAGCCACATGGCATATACGGTAATTACGTAAATTACAAAAGCCATAATCCGGTTTGGAGTGAGTTTGATTGTGCCGATCTTTTTTTTGTAAAAAAAAAATTATCATGATCATATTTCACTAAGCCATCAAATTCATCAAATCTTTTAATCTTATCATCATTACCAATTTTATCTGCTCCGTTCATGGCTTCTAAAAAGTATTAGGAACAGAAATCCTAGAGCAATAGTAAAAAAGATCAAGCGTAATTTATCTACTGACCATGTGACAATATGATTGTATTCATTGTAGCTAAAATATTCCATTTTAAAATAATTTAGCATAAAACTTTAAATACCTTATTAAATAATCAAATAAAACGTATTATAAACATTTTTTTGTTATAATAAGTTTGGTTTTCATTATGTGAATAAAATGATACATATGAATAAAGCATATATAATTATTTTATTAGAAAATCCTTTTTGTTTCATTGTATTGTATTGGGAAGTTATTTTAGTTACTTTTTATACTTATTACTATCTGCTATTATACATTTATTTAAGTTAGCCACTTTACATTAATGTTAAATTTTATATTTTACTATAAAAATTAGAAACACTTAGAAATTTTATATCACATAATACATTATACAGTATCAACTACAATAGATAGCCGTTACGATTTCGCTTGTTTTAGTATAAATAATTTTATTTAATGTACAAGATATAAACAAAAAATTATATTTACTAGTAATAATGTAAAATTTTAATATTTGGGGAATTTTAAAAGTTTAACTAATCCAAAATTTAAGAGTTTTGCTAGATAGGATTTGATGTTTTAACTGAATCATTAATAATAAATACTTTTAAACTAAACATTTTTTTTTCTATTATAACTATTAATTGCAATAAATTAATATCTAAATATAAAAATGCATTAATACTAATAATAATAAATGATAAGAAGTAAAATAAACATAATTTACCATAGAAATGATTTATTCACTGCATACTTAAAGATATTATCGCATCTTTTATGTATATTTTCGCCTCATATCACACCTTTCATTTCTCATTTTTCTATTGAGAATTTGATTTTTTAAAATCTGTTTTCCCACCTGGATTTGTTACCAGTCACGTAATGAAATGGCTGGCACTTTAGATAATTTTTATAAGTGAGATGATAATATTCACTGCAAGGAAACGGTGAATAAATCTTTACTACCATATTGTACTTAATATATTTGTTGCTTTTATATACCAATTAATAGCCATTTTAAATTTTCCTATACTTGGCTTCTGATTATCATATATTTCAAGTTTTTCCAGTACATCAATATTTTCTTCTTTTGCTATTATTTTATCTGCTTTCTCTAAATCAATATATGTTCCTATTCCTTTTTCATAACAATATCCTAGTTTATATCTTCCTTTCTTATAACCTTTTTCAGCTGCTTGTTTATAAAATGTGAATGCTCTAACTTTATTTTTACAAACACCTTTTCCTAATTCATAAAATTCACCTAATTTATATAATGCTACTTCATTATCATCTTCTGCTGCTTTATGATACCAATAATTAACTTTATCTAAATCATTTATTATTTTTTCATCATTTTCATATTGTGTTAAAATATTAAATTTTAAATCTCTTCCAGCTGCTTTATTATACAATTTAAATCCCTTTTTCTTTCTAATTTTAGTTCCAAATCCATTTATATAAAAATAACCTAATTGAAACATTGCATCTAAATCTCCTTTTTCCGCAGATTTTTTATATAATTCAAAAGCTTTAACTAAGTTTTTATCAACACCAATTCCTAATTCATAACATTTACCTAAATTATATATTGCAACTTCATTCCCATTTTCTGCTGCTTTTTTAAACCAATAAAATGCTTTATTAAAATCTTTTTCTACACCTTCACCATTTTCATATAAATTACCAAGATTATTTTGAGCTCTATCATGATTTTTTTCAGCTGCTATTGTATAAAATTCAAATGCTTTTTTTTTATCAATTTCATCAAATCCATGATCGTAAAACAATCCAAGCTGAAATTGAGCATCTAAATATCCTTTACCAGCTAATTTTTTACACAACTTAAATGCTTTAACATATAATTTCTTATCGCAATATTTTACTGCCATATTAAACAAAGAAGGGACTTCTTTAAACTCATTTTCCATATATCCACAATTTTTATTTAAATTATTAGGATTGATTTGAGCAATCTTATTTTCTTTATTTTCATTAATATCAAGTTGAGTGCTTTCCTCTAATAAAATATTTAATACATTAAAATATACTGAATGGTTGTGTAAAGTTGAATTGTCATTATTTTCAGGAACAATAACATTGAAATTTAAAGCATTTATACTTTGTTTTTTTCTTAATTCTAAATTTGGTTTTCCTCCTACAGTTAAATAACTTTTTTCTTTTACATTATTAAGTTTTTCAGGAAATATCATTTCTTTATTAAGTATTGGAAAAACTTGTATTTTTAGATAATTTTCTTCAAACTTCTGCTGACATCCTAATTAAATAAATAAATAATATAAATCTATAATTTCACTCTTTTATTAAAAAATGAATAAATAAATATGAATTTACCTGAAAATATTCTATTATCATCATCCTTAATATAGAATGAGTTACACACAGTAGAGAATATAAATCCAAATCGAAAATTAAATTTAGCACCTAGATATCCTTTACCAGCTAATTTTTTGCACGGTATCAATTCTGCTTTATTAGAAATTTCTTTAACCTCACTATCTATACTTTCACAATTTTTATATGAATTATTTTGAGTCACACACTTATTAATAACTTTAGTTTCATAACTGTGACAATAATTAGGTTGAGCTATTCCCTCAGATTCATTTAAAAAATTATCTTGAGAATTAACATTACTTTTAGAATTGATAATACTTGGTATATTTTCTATTATTAAATCATCATTTTCATCCGTTATAGAATTTATACTTGTTTTACTTAATTCAAAATTAGATATGTCTTCTGCAGTTAAATAAATTTCTTCTTTTTCATTATTACTATTAGAAAATATTATTTCTTTAAGTGTTGAAACAACTTGTTTTATATCTGGACGCTCATTTTCTTCAAATTTCCAACATTCTATAGATAACATAAATTTTATAATTTCATTCTTGTTTTCTGTTAAAAAAAAATATAAATAAATAAATAATAGATAATTTACCTTTATATAAATTAATGTACTCCATGGGAGTACCATCAATAGGTTTTTCTCTTTTTCCCCTTAATATATCTAAGGCTAATTTTATATCATAATCTTCAGTACAAAATGGTTCACGTCCACTTGAGATTTGCCACATAAGTACTCCAATACTGTATATATCAGATTTCTTATTTAATTTATGATTTCGATCATTGAAACATTTTGGATCAATATATGGTACTACTCCAAATACAGTATTGCAACTACTGTTCGATTCTTCTGCAATTTTTCTTGATAATCCAAAATCTGCTAATTTAATCTGTTTGTTATGTATAAGTACATTATTTGCATGCTAAAAAAAAAGAAAATCCAAATTCTAACGATAATTAATAAATGTGAATAATAATTATTAACAGTTTATAAAATTTGATTATTACCAGATCACGATGAATAATACCACATTCATGCATACATTCTACAGCACTTGTTAGTTGAAATGCTAATTGATATTTATCGTACCAACCAAGTCCATTAAAATGCGTATTTAAATAACTTTTTAACGTACCACCATCCGCATACTCTAAAACTAATAAGTATTTCATTTGATGAATTTGCTCTTAAATATAAAAAAAATACGATTAACATAATCCTTACAATATGGAAACTTAGTTTCCTTAATATGCACGCAGTAACTGCATATTCGCCATATTTTTTTATTATGTGGTTACTATTATACTTACAATATAGTTACAATAAAGTTATCGCATATTATGTTAAGGAAATAAGTTTCTGTAATGTATTTTTCAAAAAAAAAAAAATAAATAAATCTTACCAGACTCTTTCGTGATACCGTGGAATCGCAGAATATTTGGATGAAAATCAACTTGTTTATGTAATTTTATCTGTAAAAAAATTTAATGAATTTTTTTTTTTAAAAAAAAAATAATTTACATTTGTATACCTCATTAACAACTTCTTTAAGAGTTAACTTGTTATTATCAAACGATTTTAAGGCCAAAAGGGTGTCGGACTTTTTCCAATTAGCACGATAGACTTTTCCAAAATTTCCACCTCCTACTGGTTGTCTATCGTTAAAATCGGAATAGTTAAACTTATTAATGTATCCTTTTGAAATTGATTTTTCAATCCAATCGGTATAATTGTTGCTTAACATCTTGAAATTTTTTAAAAAAAAGGATTATTTATTATCTAGTCGAAATTTTTTTTTTTTATTGAAAGAAAAAAATATTATTATTGTTATTATTATTTTTTTTTTTTTTTTTTGTTCCATTATTCATTACTTTGTACGATATTATTCAGATTATTCATTATTTTGTAGTATTCAGATTATTCATTACTTTGTATTACTCAGATTTTTGATTCATTGACAATGAAAAATAATATCCTGATCCGATATTTATGCTGATCATTTGGAAAATGAAAAATGAACGCTAATTTAACATTTGTTTACCAAACATAATTTCCTGCTTTATTTACGGGGAATTTAATTTAAAATTCAAATGACGATTAATGATTAGATAATTGCATTACGTGCAAGGTTAATGTAAACTTATTTGAATACCTAAATCTTATTTGGCTAAATTTCTTGTACTTCACTACCTGTGATGTTTTTGTCACTTGTCACGTGATGACTTGTTTTATTGTGTTTCTGAAGGACTTGTTTTTTTTGCTAGCCTGTTCTCTAATTGTCACCGCATTGTATGTTGCCTGTATTACCACGTTTAAAGTACTATTTATATTATGACAGGGTAGTGTAAGATTCCCTATCGAAAAAGATGACTGGGAATAATTCTCCGCAAAAAAATTTTAAATACATCAATTTTTTTGTAATTTTTTTTCCGCAATCCGCAACGACCATGTCGTTAATAATAATTGACAAGTTAAAAGATGAAGATGAAATTTATCACCAGAATTTTTAAAAGAATTTTATCGTCAAATTATAAGAATAGAAAATTATAAAGAATTTGTAAATATTTTAATAGAATGGGTGAAAGATTTTTTTATAAAAAAAAATAAAACTTTTAAAATGATTTTAAAATTAATGAAAAACCATGAAGAAAATGAGAATTTGTTTTCAAGTATAATTGGATTTTTTTATGAATATAATAGCACGATAGACTTTGCCAAAATTTCCACTTCCTATTGGTTGTCTATCGTTAAAATCGGAATAGTTAAACTTATTAATGTATCCTTTTGAAATTGATTTTTCAATCCAATCGGTATAATTGTTGCTTAACATTTTGAAATGTTTTTTTTTAAAAAAAGGATTATTTATTATCTATGATAGTCGAATTTTTTTTTTTTGAAAGAAAAAAATATTATTATTATTTTTTTTTTGTTCCATTATTCATTACTTTGTACGGATTATTCATTACTTTGTATTACTCAGATTTTTGATTCATTGACAATGAAAAAAAAATAATATCCTGATCCGATATTTATGCTGATCATTTGGAAAATGAAAAATGAACGCTAACTTTGGTAGATCGATATGATTACTGTAACATTTGTTTATTATGATTTACCAAACATAATTTCCTGCTTTATTTACGGGGATTTAATTTAAAATTCAAATGACGATTAACGATTAGATAATTGCATTACGTGTAAGGATAATGTAAACTTATTTGAATAAATCTTATTTAATTTAAATTAGGCTAATTTATTGTACTACACTACCCTGTGATGTTTTGTCACTTTGTCACGTGATGACTTGTTTACATTTTTTATTATGTTTCTGAAGGACTTTGGTTTTTTTTACTAGCCTGTTCTCTATTTGTCACCGCATTGTATGTTACCTGTATTACCACGTTTAAAGTACTATTTATATTGTGACAGGGTAGTGTGGTAAGATTCCCCATCGAAAAAGATGATCCGGGCGTAATTCTCCGCAAAAAAATTCCATTTTAAATACATTATTTTTTTGTAATTTTTTTTTTTTCCGCAATCCGCAACGATCATGTCGTTAATAATTGACAAGTTAAAAGATGATGATAAAAATTTATCACCAGAATTTTTAAAAGATAACGAAAATTTATTAAAAGAATTTTTAAAAGAATTTTATCGTCAAATTATAAGAATAGAAAATTATAAAGAATTTGAAAATATTTTAATAGAATGGATGAAAGATTTTTTTATTAAAAAAAATAAAACTTTTAAAATGATTTTAAAATTAATGAAAAATCATGAAGAAAAAGAGAATTGGTTTTCAAGTATAATTGGATTTTTTTATGAATATAATATTGATGATGATGATGATGATAATAAAAATCAATATCAATCTTTAGATTTTTATTTGTTATCGATTAATAACGAAAAGAAATTGATATCTTTATATCAAGTACTTAATATTATTATAGGAAAATTTTTATTATCATTACATTATTATAAAAATATTATTTTAAATAAAAGGAATTCATTTATAAAGGAGTTTGGGAATTTAAAAAATGGACATGTGACATCACAAATTCAATTTGAAAATTTTGATGGGTTGGAAATAAATTTACGTAAAGATGAGATAATTACTATAGAAAAATATTTTGAATCATTAGATAAAGATTTTAATGATAAAGATCATAATCAAATAGAATATTCTAAAAATAAAGAATTAATAGAATTAAATAATTTAGGTTATAGTTATCAATATGGGATAGGAAATGAAAAAAATGGATATAAAGCATTTGAATGTTATCTAAAATCATCGGAGAGAGGAAATTCAAGCGCACAAAATAATTTAGGTTATTGTTATCAAAATGGAATTGGAATAGAAAAGGATGAGAAGAAAGCATTTAAATGTTATTTAAAAGCTGCTAATGAAGGGGATTTATATGCTCAATATAATTTAGGTATTTGTTATCAAAATGGAATAGGAACAAATAAAAATAATGAGAAAGCTTTTGAATGTTATTTTAAATCAGCCGAAGAAGAATATACATTTGCACAATATAGACTAGGTAATTGTTATCGAAATGGAATTGGAATAACCAAAGATATAAACAAGGCATTTAGATGTTATACGAAAGCTGCTGAAGGTGGAAATTTAAATACACAAACTAATATGGGCTTTTACTATAAATTTGGAATTGGGATAGAAAAAGATATAACGAAAGCTATTTATTGGTTTAGTAGAGCAGCAGAAAATGGAGAAAAAGTTGCACAATATAATTTAGGAGAATTTTATGAAGATGGAATAGGAGTAGAAAAAGATTTAGTTAAAGCTTTTGAATTATATAAAGAATCTGCTAAAAATGGGTATTCAGATGCAAAATTTCAACTTGGATATTGTTATATAAATGGGATTGGAACCGAGATCAATAAGAAAAAAGGATTTGAATTATATAATAAAGCAGCTGGAAAAAATAACCTGATTGATATTTCATTGTTATATAGAAATGATGAAAAAATAAGTAATGATTTGGATAAAGTATCTTTTTGGTATCATAAAGCAGCAAAAAATAATAAAGCTGCATTATATAAATTAGGTGAATTTTATGAATTAGGAAAAGGTGTTTGTAAAAATAATGCTAGAGCATTCGTATTCTATAGACAAGCAGCTGCAAAGGGTGATGTAAATGGAAAATATAAGCTTGGATATTGTTATGAACATGGAATAGGAACACACGTTGATTTAAAAAGGGCAATTAATTTATATAAAATAGCAGCAAAAGGAGGAAATAGTAATGCACGAAAAAGAATGCAAAAGGGAGATTTTAGATGAATTGATAGACATATCAGAATTTATTAGTTTTATTTCATCAAATTTCTTTATATTTCTGCATACGTAAGTCATATTTTGTATGGACTATCTGTTATAATAAAGAAAATATATAAATAATATATATTTGATTTATTAAATGAGGAAGAGAAATAATATCAAAGAATACTTTATAGCATAGATTACTGCAGATATTTGGTAGGCGATCAACCTTTAATGTTTCTTCAATTAAGTTAATCGGTGAGGGATTAAAATTGAATCTTATTATTACGAATTCACTCTACCAACTAAATACATTATCAAAATACTTGATCAATCTTATACAACTATTAGATGATTCAATTACTCGGTAAAATCTTAACGTGTGACCTTCTCATACCAGTTGATATACATGATTTCTCTTGATTTCTCTGCTACACTAGCAAGCCTCCAATTTTGAAAAGATTTAGGGAACATCCCATTGGTCGAATTTTGAATTCTTGAAATCCATACTGGCGTGACGACTGGTTTAATGAAAACGGAAAAAGTTATAATAATGTTAAGCAAAAAATCAAGGATGCCTGATGAATTCACGTGATCTACTTACAATCGTGTGGTATTTAATGGTGATGTGTTTATTTAGCGTTACACAAGTCTTAATATTGTTTGAATAACTAAGGATTATTCTTATTGTAAATGCTATCGGAGTCAATTAGCTTGATATCCATCTAAGATAATATAATCACAAGTAACAGATAAGGAAAGAAAATGATGAAATAATAACATTGCTCATAATTATTAATTAGATATCAGATATTGTCCAAATCATAGATAATATTATAATACTTTTTAATAATTATTATTAATACTTTAAAATTTCGAAACATTAAAGACAAATAAATGATAATATGAATTTTTAATTTTAACATTTCATTTGTTTTAGATTTATTATAATAATATCTTGATTTCACTTTTCCCAATTTTTCCCATCAAATAATCAAAACGTTAAAAAAGAACGAAACAAATTCAAAAGAATTAAGAAATCTTACTCTAGAAATTCAAACTCTAAAATAAAAATGGGTCCATTTATTAATACTAATAAACCTATTGTCGTTGATCCTGAAGAAAATTAATTTTGGAAGATGCTATTCAGATCTACTATTTCGAACAAAATTGTCCTACTCCATAATCTGGAAAATTCCTGATTTCATTCATTAATAATCCAATAATTTACTTATTGTGTAATAAAAAGTCAATAAAGTCAATTTCAATTTCAATTTTTTTTTTATTTTATAATATATATAAATAAATAAATAATTTTTGTTGAAAAAAGATCATTTTTTAAAAATTTCAAATGTTGATTATAAAATTACTCATAAAATTTGTCGTATCTAAAGGAATTATTCGGATACACAATTTAAAATTCAAATAGGAAAAGATTTCTTTGATTTCTTTGAAATCACAATAAATAACATGAACCGACAATTCGCGAATTATCAATCACGATCGATGAAACAAATCTTCTCATTGTTTATATAATTACTAATTATAAACTTCATTTCTCAGAGAGATTCTAACTTTCTTTTGATATAATTATAGAACTTTTTATCAAAAAAATTAAATATTATCCTTATTAATAATCGATTTGATGATACATTGAAATATTCACCCTCGATTACCATCTAATTCATCTAATTCCAATATACTTTTAATTATTAGTGAATATGAAAGGATACACTACCTTTTCCCGAAGATTCATGATTATTCTAAAATATTAATGATAGAATTATAATAAACACCTATTAATCCGTGTCACAAATGATCGAACAAATATGATTGTTTAAATGAACATTAAAAAATTTATAATACATTCTATTGAAACAATCGTATTTGTCTACATTCTATATACCGATGAGGTATTTATTCACATGAATATTAGATTATTTAATAACAATTTTTTTATTAATAAAGTAAATAGTATTACATGATGAATAAAATTGTGCGAATAAAAAGTAATCTGTAAATGACACCTTTTAAATGAACCAATGTTAGATCTAAAAAAATACTTATGCAAAAAGAAAATAAACTCTACGAAACCAATTTTCACGTGACTCTCATCATTTCGTTCCTCTTTTTGAAGTTCCATCATTTTTATGATAAATATTAATGAAGCAGAATATGAAGTGGTAAAAAATTTTAAAGGTATATTTTTTTACTGGAAAAATCTTCAAATTAATTATGAGATTATACAAGTAATTGTAGTCTTTCTGCGATAGCAAGTTGTGTACGTGTCATGTTTGCAAGGTAAGAAACCATTAATAAATCCTAAATAATAACAAAAGAATCAGTAATTATGAAATTGTCGTTAACAGTGTGCTGAGGCAAATATCTTTACCTGTAGATGTCCATTGAACATTTTTTCGAATTCTACTTTATCGATTTTTGGTACAACTGAAATCGTATCCATTAAAAATCGACCTATTGTATTATCGGCGGGTATGCTTCCATCCTATGTCAATATTAAAGAAAATTAATAATTTAATACATCTAATTTAAAAATAAAAGAATGTGTGCATAGTTCATTTTATCTAATACATGCCAAGACTTTATTTACGTAGTCCGTAACTCTCTCTAGCATTTCAAAAACAGCCTTTATCGTTTTTTCAAGGTTATCCATGTCAGAAAATAGGGATGTGGAACGATCCGTATCATTTTTTGCAGATGCAAGAAGGTCGACTAAACAAAAACAAAAAGTGAACAAGGATTAATAGGAATTAATCAAAAGCGACATAATGATTACTTATTAACATTAATTTCACTTACGTCCACTTCGTTCGGCGTCAAAATATTTGACATCGCATGGAACAGGCAAAAATAAACAATTCTCTGGCTTTGCGGAAATTCCAATTGGTGCACTGTTCAAATTAAAATTATTGTTGTTGATTAACTGCTTGTGTATGAAATCAGGAAATAAAAAGATGATTTTTAAATTTTACCTAACATATGTTTTGACACCTAAAAGCTTATCATCATTCTTGAGATCTGTATCCATTGTTAAATGGATAGCTTGAAATGGTGGCATAACTTCTCTTGAATAAAAATCTTGTATAAGAGCGTTCCATTGATTAAGATTAGAACCAGTAGCATACCATCCAACAATCACCTCCTTTGCGTTGACTTTCTTGTGAAGTTCGAACATATTACGGTGATATTCCATGTCTACAGCAACCTAAGATATTTTATATCAAGTCCTTTTTTATAATTTGTAATTAAAATATACGCTGACATTTATAAGAATGCAAACCTGATTGTCAGTCTCATCATGAGAAACAGGGAAGCAATTTCGGACTTCGACTTCGCTCCCATCTTCACTTCTAACACCTAATAAGGTTCCGATTACTCGGTGTTGTTTTTCTTGCCTACGAAGATAATGATCGAGGACAGAAAATAACACTACCGGGTTTACCGAAACTGTAAAGGAACGGCTCTGGGGAACAACAAAGCCCGTGGCTGTAGTAGGAGGGAACGAAAGATGCAGAGCTGAGGTTGCAGCGTCAATTGACATGTTTGCTAATGAATTTCAAAAAACAAATTCAATCTATGGTAATTAAAGTAAAATTTTATCTAAGCCACAAAAATTGGCCAATCACGAACGGAGATCAGAAAAAAATTTTCTTATCTAAATTTTTATTGAAATCATCATTTTTTTTCTTTTTAATATTTTTACACACAAAAAAAATGTCAAAACGTACTACAGAAGATATGGATATTTCGGACTTTAAAGTCCCAAAAGCTCCCTTCGGTCAACCCCAGGAAAAAATTAAGTCGATAAAAGAATTAGAGGGCATTGGAGATTTTGAAGACCCTTGGGAAGACGAATATGAAACAGAGTCTGAAGAAGAAGTAGTTGAAGAGGAAAATAATGAGGACAAAGAAGGCGATGGTACGGAATTAGATAAAATTTAACGAAATGAGGGAATTTAACACCTTAATAATAGAAAATTATCATACGTTTTCTATAAAGAATATTTAATTAACATACGTTATTTAAATATTTATTTATTAATATAAAGAAATGGACGTTGAAGAAACTGAAGAATTACAAGTATATCTTCCTGGACAAGAATTGCAAAATGATGAGGTTCTCGAGGCTGATCAGTCAGCTTATGAAATGTTACATTCTATGAACGTAAGATGGCCATGCCTCAGTTTTGATATATTATGGGATAATTTAGGCGAAGACAGGAAAATGGTAGGAATTCAAGTTATTGTTGAAATTTTTTATTAATAGAAACGCGAACCTTTTTTTTAATTGAGTATATATAATTCAGTATCCTGCTACAACATATATCGTCGCTGGAACACAGGCAGATAAACCAAAAAATAATGAATTGATAATAATGAAAATGTCCCAACTTCATAGAACGCAAAATGATGGTAATTATTTATTCGTGCAACCATAGATTTGATTATGAGAATTGACCAAGTGTGTTTTTATTTAATTTAGATGATTTAAATGATTCTGACAAGGAATCTGTTGATTCGAATAATGAAAAATTAGATGAAGATCCAATTTTGGAAGAGAAAAGTTTAAAACATTATGGAGGTGTCAATCGCGTTAGAGTCACGCCACAAAAAGATCTTCAAATAGCTGCGTCTTGGGCTGATACGGGAAAAGTACATATTTGGGATTTGAGCCCAGTTGTAAAAGCATTAGACACCAAAGGTTACCAAATTTCGCAAAAGTCTTCTAAGCCATTATATACAATAGAGAGCCACAGCACTGAAGGATTTGCAATGGATTGGTCAGGAACTGTCCCCGGAAGGTGCGATATTTTATTTCTTGTGTTTATTTTTTCCTTTCCTTTATATATGATTTAACGTTCAAACTTACTTAACAGGCTGATAACAGGAGATAATCACACACATATTTATCTCACAACAAAGACACAATCAAACTTTACAGCGGATCGAATACCATTCGTAGGTCACTCGTCATCAGTTGAAGATTTACAATGGTCTCCCACTGAAAAAAATGTATTTGCAAGTGCCTCGGCAGATCAAACAATACGTATATGGGATACTCGAAGCAAAAAGAAAGAAGTTTTATGTGTTAAGGCTCATGATGCGGACGTAAACGTTATTACTTGGAATCGGTTGGTTGTTATTTATTACTATTATTATTACTACTAAATTTAACAAAAATGATTAACATTATGAATTCTTTAGAAAAGTTGACTATCTGCTTGCTTCAGGTTCGGATGATGGTGTGATAAGTATATGGGATTTACGCACATTTGTAAAGTCAGTATTATATAGCAATTTTTATTATTTTTTATATAATCAACAATTAAAATTCAGTTTTTCATCCTACCAGTAAAGAAACGAAACCTTCACCTGTTGCAAATTTCAAGTGGCATTCTGCGCCAATTACATCTATCGAATGGCACCCCACTGAAGAATCGGTTTTTGGTGCATCAGGTGCAGACGACCAGATTTCTATATGGGATCTTTCGGTTGAACATGATCCCGAAGAAAATTCTGATAAGATTATCGGAAAAAGCGGTGTAGAAGTTCCTCCGCAGTTACTCTTTGTACACCAGGTAAAGTGTTGTAAAAAAAGCTTGGTATGGAATAATTTACAATCTAATATTGTTATCATTGATTGATTTAGGGTCAAAATGATATCAAGGAAGTACATTGGCATCAACAAATCCCTGGATGTATGATAAGCACAGCAGCTTCTGGATTCAATATTTTCAAGACTGTTTCTGTATAAATAATATATTTAATCCGAGTGTTATTGTTCACACAGGATCATAAAATTTTAATTACTATTAATAATAAAATTCGATTATCTATTTAAACTTTATTTGTACAATCATTTGTACAATCATTTGTATACAATAATAAAACTATACGCTCAAAAAGTAAGCACTAGTTTATAAACAGCCTTAAATTATTCAAATGAACAACTGTTATTGTAAGCTATGTATAAAAAAAGTCATTTTATCAGGGGGTGTTTATTTTTGCTTGTTTAGAGTTTAATATTTACACGAAAACGCAAACCTATTTCCGGATCAGGTAATCATGGAAAGGTACCTTAACAGTTAATAACAATTACATTATATAACTAGACTCGCATTTTCTATGACTCGTATTCCTAATATTCTTCAAAAACTATCTTGTTAGGATATGTCTAATAACGAAGAATTGGCAATTGATGTTGAAGACCTCACCTTCAACTTCGGCGAATCTCCAGTTTTGGAGAACGTAACTTTTAAATTGCAGAAAGGAGCACGTTGTTTATTAGTTGGTAATTTTTTAAAAAAAATGAATTCATTTTTTTCTAAATTAATTTATTAGGTATTTACTTTTTTTTAATACTTTAGGTGCTAATGGAGCCGGGAAATCCACTTTATTGACGATATTGGCGGGAAAGAGAATGGTTCAAGATAAAGTCTTAGTTTTGGGAATGGATGCTTTTAAAGATTCTCCACTTGTACGTATAACATTCATTTACTTAAACCCCATGAATGATTCGAATAACCTATCACTTTATTTTCTATAAACAGGGCGTCACTTATCTCGGTACCGAATGGGCAAATAACCCTGTTGTTAAGGGTGACGTTTTAGTCTCTACCCTTATATCCAACATGAAAGGTGGTATATATCCCGAAAGAGTAAAAGAATTAATTCAAATAATGGACATTAATCCAAAATGGCGTATGCACCAAATATCCGACGGAGAAAGGCGTAGAGTGCAGCTTGTTTTAGGATTAATTAAACCCTGGACTTTATTACTCATGGATGAAATTACTGTTGATTTGGATGTATTGGTGCGTTCAGATTTATTGGAATTCTTAAAAAAAGAAACCGAAGAGAGGAATGCTACTTTAGTAAGTCATTTTAGAGTAAGTTAACTTTTATTTTTAGCTTCAATGATAATAATTAACATATTCTTTGTTAAAAAAAGTTATATGCAACTCATATTTTTGATGGTAAGAAAATTATATTTATTTCTCTTCAATAAGTCCGATTTAAAGTTACAAGATTCAAATTCCTTGTTTAACTATTTAGGACTTGGAGACTGGCCTACTCACATAACTCATATAAAACGTGGAAAAATCGTAGCATCCCACGATTTTCATAATAACTTTCCGGAATTGGACAATATGATGACCCAACAGCTTCTAATCAATAAGCAACAATTGACAAACCGACAATTATATAGAAATATGGGTTCACCACTTTTAAAAGTTGTTGAACAATGGTTAAGAGAAGATTTAAGAGAACTTAGATTGCTTCAAGCTGAAGAAAGAAAAAAGGCCGAACAAGAAAGAGACAAAGTTTTGTTAGGAGAAGAAAAACCAAAGACCAAATGGGACATTTTATCGGATAATGTGGATAAATATGGCGATAAATATTATAATTATTGGGATCATTAATTTTATTATACATATTTTATATTTATTTATATATATACACCTTATATTTCTATTTTTTGTATCTTATATTAATAATAAGTAATGTAAAGATAGAATGGCTATTCAATATTCGTCCTTATTTTAGGTTGTACGATGTACCAAATAAAATGAGATAATAAAACTAATTTAGTATTTTTAAACGTTACAATGATGCATAAGTGTAACTTACGATTCATAATGCAAGATATATTTCTCAAATAATTAAAGGGTAACCATTACGTCACACTGCTTTATCTTTTCTTTTCTCGATTTTTAATTTTCCCTCCTTAAAGATATTCACTCATTAAAAACCCAAGGTTTCTTTCTTTTAATAAATTTAAAAAGTATTAGTAATAGACAGTTTATAGACAGGAATCTACAAAATTAAAGTCGCAAATTCTAAAGTAAATTACGCATTATTACCTTTTGAGATTTTAGCCTAAAACTAATAGTATAGTTATTGGCAATTTGTATCAAAATCCCTTAATCCCATTTAGAATTTGGTGAAGTCTCTCGACAAGAAAATTATAGTGAAATTCGTAAAACAGAAAAAATTGTACTTTTAATCTTTAAAAATAGATGTATGTAATTTTTTGAATGTAAATTTAACATAATTCATTGATATTTTTTTGTCAAGAGAATTTCTGGAGAGAGGGAGCATTTGTTAAATTAAATCTGGAGGAACCATCGAAATATAATTTTTAAATCTTATTCATCGTTAAGATTAAAATGACACACTCATTCAGAGGCTTAGAGCCTGTTACGTGCATAACTGACAATCAACCAATCGATGTATCTCTAAGCGTTTTTGTCGCATTTGGCTTGTTAATAAGCTTTTTACCACAGGTTTGGATAAAGTTTAATATTTTCATATATTAATTTTCTCACTTAACACAGATTATTTTTTACATTTTAATTAGGTATATAAAATTATTAAGTACAAAACGAGCGAAGGGATTAGTCCCTGGTTTCTCATGTTGGGAACTATGTCAGCAACTTGTGTTCTTTTTAATATTGTGATTTTACAATTTAACATCATAAAATGTTGTCGAGTTGTGGTAAGTTTATTATGAATAATTATTTTTATTCAATTTTTATCATTCTTTACTTATACTTATTTCTCACGTATTTTAGTCTCCCTTAACATGTTTTGAGAATATGTTGGGTATCATTCAACTTGCGATTCTATGGGTTATGTGTTTGTTGATTTTAGTTCTCTTCATGTTATATTTTCCTTCACATCGGAAATTTGCACCATATATTCGACATCTTCATTTTAATACACCACCAACTGAATGGTCAATTGAGTGGCGTGATTCTATTATAGTTTCAACTATTGTTACAATTCATATTATTTTTACCATAGTTGTTACAGTATTACTTTTATTTTTTTATGGTAATGAAGATATTAATTGGAAAGTGTTATGGGCAGAATTCTTGGGTATAGCGTCCATGATATTAATAAGCATTCAATTTATACCACAATTATTTAGAACTTGGAAGCGTAAGGTAAACAATGAATTCACAGTAATAATGAATTCAAATATATTTATTATTTTTTTTAATTTAATTTTTAATTTATTAATATTTTTTTTTTTCTCATTAGTCCGTTGGTGCGCTTAGTATTGAAATGATGATTATGCAAGTTGCCGGTTCATTTATTTTCGTTTATACTCTTTCAATTAGACCTAGTGTCACTTGGACCACATGGATTGTATTTTTTGTTTCAGGATGTTTACAAGGAATACTTCTCATCATGTGTGTTTGCTGGAATTATCGTTCCAGACGTCTTGGACATGGGCCATTTTATGTTAATGAAACTGATCAATTACTTGCTCGTGATGGTAGACCATTGATTCCCGATGAACGTACAGCGTTGATAAATAAAGGTCATAAGAGAAATCCTTCTAATAGACCTATTATTTCAAGAAGTAGCAGCAATAACAACGCCGCTAATACTGTAAATAATAACAATAACAACAATAATATTGAAAATAATAATAATTTGTCTGTGAAATTTTAACATTTGTAATTTTATTATTTATTTGTTATAGAAGTGTAAATTATTTTTGTAACAATTTTGTTTTTATCAAATCTCTTTCTTTTAAATAGACATTTACCAATTTATTTTGTATACGATGAAAATATTTTGTAATAAATTAGTTTTAATTATTACATCATTATAAAATATCAAAATTAAAAAATTAATAATACATGAGTTATGTCTTATCACATCAGATTTAAAAAAATGATAATGTAAATCATAGTAATGCCGGCCAGTTTCTTAATGCTGGTTGGATTTTTAGATGTGATTGTAGATTATGATCCGAAAAATTTTTTTTTTTGAAAAAAATTTTTTTTTTTTTAACTGAAAATCTTCATAACATTTTCATATTTCTACAAAGTCAACCATTAGTAGATATGACCGATACACTTTCACTCCGTGGAACGCTCGATGGTAATTATTAGAGACAGTCTATTTATTATAAAATTATTTCATTTTTCAAAATTATTAATTAATAAAAAAATTTATTCATATATAGGCCATTCAAACTGGGTGACGGCTATTGGTAAATGTTCTTTGAGAAAAAAATATCATAAAATTTTATTCGACTATTTAATTAAATAGGTTAATCGTACATTTGTTAATTGTTATTTTTTCTTTTTTTTTTAAAAAAAATAATATAGCTACTACTTCAGAAAATCCCGATATGATTTTATCTGCTTCCCGTGGTGTGTAATTTTTCTCGAAATTATTACCGATTAATTAAATAACATTTAATATAATTTACGGGAGGATACTATCTTCTATCTTTATATTAATATAGCATGAAATTATTAAAAGTCCAATTGGAATTTATCTGCAATTATCATTTTCTTGTTTGAGTTAAGAATCATAATATTGATGTTATTATGATTCATTATCGACAGATAAAACCATAATCGTTTGGAACCTAACCCGGGATGAAACCAATTATGGCGTACCTAAAAAGTCTCTCACAGGTCACAATCATTTTGTGCAAGATGTGGTCATTTCCTCTGATGGACAGTTTGCTTTATCTGCATCATGGGATAAAACTCTTCGCCTTTGGGATTTAAATACCGGGACAACAACTCGTCGTTTTGTGGGTCATGATAAAGATGTTCTTTCCGTATCTTTTTCACCTGATAATCGTCAAATTGTTTCGGGTTCAAGAGATAAGACTATCAAATTATGGAATACACTTGGAGAATGTAAATTCAATATTCAGGAAGACGGTCATTCTGAATGGGTCTCATGTGTAAGATTTTCACCAAACCCATCAAATCCAGTAATTGTATCATGTGGTTGGGATAAACTTGTTAAGGTGATTATTTAAATACCTTTGAATTAATTAAACTTGGCAAAGATGTCATTATTTTTTAAAAAAAATATTTGCTACTTCGGAGGAGTAAATCTTCAATGAGACGAAAATCTAATCTGAGCCTAATTTATTTTTATTAAATTTATTGACTAATTCTTTTTTTTTATGATAAATTTCCTAATAATTTTTTATATATACCTATTTATTATAGGTTTGGGAACTTACTAAATGTAAACTTCGAACAAACCATATTGGTCATACTGGATACATCAATACTGTAACTATTTCACCTGACGGTTCACTTTGCGCTTCAGGTGGAAAGGATGGTATTACAATGTTATGGGATCTTAACGAGGGCAAGCATTTGTACTCATTAGAAGCTGGTGATATTATCAATGCATTAGTTTTCAGTCCAAATCGTTATTGGTTGTGTGCTGCTACTGCATCATTCATTAAGATTTGGGATCTTGAAACAAAGACTGTTGTTGATGATCTTAAACCAGAATTTACGGAAACGGGTAAACAATCGAAAGATCCTGAATGTATTTCACTTGCTTGGTCTCCTGATGGTACTACTTTGTTTGCTGGTTATACAGGTAAAAAATTGTTCTAAACGAATATTATTGATTCATATTATCTATTCATTCTCTTATTTATTATTTTTTTTTTCATTTATAATTTTAGACAATAATATTCGCGTATGGCAAGTCACTAGGATGTAATATTTTATAGGAAAAAAAATATATTTATTATAAAAAATAGGTAATAGGTTAAAATAGGTTATTGGTAGAAAATCAAAATTAATAAATATTTTTAAATTTACACCCTTTTGTGATCTTATTTTTGATTGATATAAACTTGATGAGTGATCATCGATTTTACTACGTTTTTTTGATTAACTTCGGGAGATTTTCGAGATGCATAAGCGATTGTTATTTCAAATTGGTATCTTTGCATGTGACACGTCTTTTGCATAAATTCGTACAAAAAAAAAAGACTTGTTGAAATAAACACTAATTTATAAAAGTTATAAAAAGAAATATACAATATTTAATATTAACGTGAAATATAAAAATGTCAGGTAACTCTTTAAGATCAGTTGGTTTGGCTGTTCTTTATATTGAGCTATTATTTACACAGCCCGCGTCAAATGTAAACGAAAGTTTTATATAGTATTCGAACAATGTGGGAGTGGAAAGATGATGACATTGAAAAAATAGAAGAAATGTGTCGGTAAGTCATTATCATATTATCTTAAGTATATTTAATTCATATTACATAATTGAAGTTTTATGAATTTTAACAGGAGAATTGGAAGAGAACATAATACTGAAATCAAATATATCAGAGACAAACAGGTTTGTTTTTACATTTGATCAATTGAAGAAAATTTTATAAGTATATATAATAATTAATAATTAATTGATAAAAAAAAAATGACAGTCATACGAGATAGAAGGCGATGAACATAAAAACTTAGATGAATCGTAAGTTTTATTATATATTATAACAAATTTTTATGGATGATTGATGAATTAATCATTCTGTATATTATTATAGACGTGATGAATTGCTCAAAGCGCTCAATCTTATGGTAGAATAAGTTATAATTATGTTAATTATGTTTTTATATATCTAAATATATTTGAATTCGGTCTGATCAGTGCATCTTTATATTTATACGTTATTTTCATAGGCCAGATCCGCTACACAAAGCCTCATCATACCTCGTCGCTCCAAAAAAATTAAATCCAAACCCGCAAAAGTTGATTTGCCTCCTGGTTTACCTCCTCCCTTACCTTTTGAAAAAGAAAATGTTCCAACAATGACACAAGAGCAAGAAGCTGAAGATACTGGATTAGAAGATGGAGTATTCAAATTCAATCCTCGCGTAAAAGAATCCGATTTTCCTGAGATATTTGGATGGAATCGAAAGGAAGCATTTTTTACAACTTGCGATTATTGGAATGATATCTGTAAAGAATGTGGAGTTATGGGTGAGATCATTGAAGAAAAAAAGGTGAATTAAATATAATATGTTTATGATTCGCGTATATTATTATCTGATGCTAATTTTTATTTATACCTTTTTGATAGAAAGTAGTATTCAATAAAGGTAGAGAGAGGGATGTTGAAGAGGCAATAAAAAGATTAGCACAATTGCAAGAGAATTTCGTACGAATTTTTTTTTTTTTTTAATATAGTTTACAATGTTAGATAAAAAGTTGGACTATTATTAATTTCTATTTAATTTTTGAAAAATTTCTATAGCTTCAACCAAAATTCAATCATTTACACGTTCCATTAGTGCATTATCCAAATCAGTACACATTGTTCAAATTGTATTTCTGTCATATCCTCAAGCACCCATACTTTAGTAAAACTATGAAACTTGATATAAAAGACTTTTACGTGCTTGTGCCCGCTACATTAGACCCACTCACACAGAAATATTTATTACCACAAGAATTACCTGAATCAACTTTACTAAGATCATATGATGATAATCAATTTAACCGCCAATGGCAAGAAAATAATGAAAATAATAGAGAAGAAAAATCAACAAAAGGAAAAGCAAAAGCGGTATCTCCTAATGATGATTTTTATGATAGCTCTTCACGTAATTGGGGATCTATATCAAGACCTGAAGAAACAAAATGGTCTCAAAATGCACCAAACACAAAGTCAATGGACGCATTCCCAGCTCTTTCCGCAAACCGGAGATCTAGTAACTCCGGAAGACCTTATCCACCTGAGAATCAGCGCAGACCAATAAATGAAGGTTCTTTGATTGATCTTGACGACGAACCCCCAGTAATTAAACGCGCGATTAGACAACAAAACCCAAATAAAAATAATTATTCGGGCGCCGAAAATAGACCTACTATTGGTAAAATGTATGTTATAAGTTATCTTGCATAATTTCTCGAATTTTTTTTTTTCATTATTATTTATTTTTTATCATACAGGGTTCGAGACTATAATTTCGCTAAGATGATAGATGCACTGTCAGAAAGGTATTTAATACCAATCTGAAATATAATATATTATCGTTTGATACTAATCCATCACGTTTCGCGTATCTAGATTAGAGTATGCACGTGTATGTAAAGGCGAAGTACGTTTCTTTGGAAGGTAAATAATTTTGAATTTGAATAAATTTGAATGAGTTACTTTAAAATATTATTAATTCAAATTAATTATATGATTAGTTTGGGCAAAGCATATTTCACTAAAGTTAATGAAGTAGTTAATGGAAAGTTGTGGGACTATACGGAATTAAAAGATATAATTGTTTCAGGACATGGCGTCAACCCAAGATTCAATGAAATGTAAGTTTTCAAAGTTTTCAAAGTTTTCAAATATTTTTTTCTAAACCATATCTTTTATTTATTAAATAAACATTTTGCAGTGCAACATACGACAGTAATCTTATTTCGGGTTTCATTGATGTTCTCGGTTCAACTCCTATCAACAAGTCAAAGTCTGCGTATTATGAAATAAAAGCGAAAGCAAGAAATGCACCACAAGGTCCCATGTCTGAAGTTTTCATGTATGTTAATATGGGATTCGTTTCTTTAGAAAAAGTTATGTTAAATTGGGAACCTCTTGTAAACATAGATTGGACGATATTGGATCGGTAAGTTTTAAATTTTTTTTTTTTTCTAATGAATTTTTTTAATAATTTAATACTCTTCTCTTTTTTACAGAAAAGTTGATTTTTCGGCGGTTTTGACTTCGAGACGCGCTATTCGTCATGATGTGAAACCATTCAGTACATTTATCAAGAAGATATCAGTTAGCCCAAATAACCGATCAATTTCGTTCGAGGATGTTAAAGACTTTCTCGAAGTAAAATCCATTAATTTTAAACAAGTTACAAAATTCAAATTGCACTATCCTTTTATCGCAGAAGTGTCTCGTATTGAAAGATTAGAAATTACCGATCAACCCAATTCTATTAAAAAAATAGGCAAAACTGGACCAAAAAATAGAGTACATTATACAATTGAGGTGAGAACTTTGATAATAAACAGATGTTTTTACTTCCCATTTCTTATTATTATTTTTAACCGTTATTGAGATATTATTATTTGTTATTATCATTATTTAAAGGTTTACAACGATAACCATAGAGAAGCATTCAAGCAAAATATGTCTCTTGGATCTGGAGAAATCGCAAAATGGACGGTTGATAATATACTTGGAGAAAGTCCACATCGTAATAATTTAGTTGAACTTGTGAAAACTATGTTGTTACTAGTTGAAAGATGTCATAAAGTAGCAGAGTTAAGAAGTCAACAAATAGTAGCTGAAACTTCAGAAATGTAATTAATTGGTTTTGTTAGAATAATCTATAATTTGCATTTGTATAAATTTGCATTTGTATAAACATTTTCTTAATGCTTGTTAATCAAGTTGGAAAGAAAAAATTTTGTAAAATTTTGTTGCTGAATCGAGAGCTTTTAATAAATTATATTTCATAAAACGTGTTAACAAAATGAGGGAAATTCCTTTTCAGAATGTATTTATACAACGATATATTACACAATAAAAAACTATTCCTTTTAATTGGGAGTTTCACTTTTCTTTGAACCAATTCAAAATTTAATAATCAAATTCTTTATTAACATAACATTTTTAACTTATTTTTAATGATACTTTCCTAAGGATGACATTTATATTCTTCACCTTGTAATACAAAAACACCATTTGCATATATGTCATCTAATTGTTCTTCCAATTTTTGATTAATTCCTCTTGCTCCTATAAAGTAAGTAATAAATTTTTTAAACAAACAAATTATAAAACATTTTGAAATTATTTAAAAAATTATTACCATCAGTTACTTTCTTAGCCCATATATAGTATTCTTTTTTTTAATATGTAAATATATATAAATATACGATGTTAATAAATTAATAAAACTTGTCATTTAATTTATTCAATCAATTTTTTACCTTGAACGCGTTTCTTTGACCATCCTATTGGCGCATCTTTCATTATATCTCTTAAATTATATAACTTATCTGCCAACTTCACTTCTTTCGCCTGAAAAATAAATAATGAAAATCAAATAAATTACCTTAACACTATTCTACAATAAAAATGAATAGAAATGTGAAAAAATCATAATTACCTGTTTAGATATATGTGGAGTATGCTCGATTTGCAATCTTTGTCTTTCTTCCTTTTCTAATGATTTATCATCAGTACATTCTGCTACAATATTTTTAACTTCTCGACCAAATTTCTGTTCGATCTGATTAAACATAAAAAAAATTAAATTAATAATTATGACATTATTTTAAAAAAAAAAGCATGTTAAATTAACATTACCTCTTCAAAAGTTGTTTTCGTATCTTCTACTGTATCATGCTCAATTGAAACAAAAAATTCAATAAAAAAAAATTATTATTAAATTATCATTTTAAAAGTTCACCAACCAATATTGCAGCTTGTATGGTGACAAGATCATAAACTCCAGCATCCGTAAGATTTTTTGCAACACCAATTGGATGATTAATATAAGCTAAATTATCCCATATAAATGAAATTAATATTAATTTAAGTTCTCAATTTTCACGCAAAAGCTACAGTACAATATGTAATCAAGATATTCCACGTACGCGTTCCTGCAGAATCCTTTCGTTTTTGAAATGAGTGTTTTTTTGCGGCAAAGTCTATAGTATCAATTAATTTCGCGATATCGAAAGAAGCATTGGAAATTTGCGTTCCTTGGGAAGACATCTTGTAGAAATTATTTGTTTTACTTTTCGTTGTTCCGGTTTTTTGTCATTATTATCGGAGATGTTCGGGTAAGTAAATAAACCGAAAATTTCCGAACCTATATATATACATCAACACGTCAGATTTTTTGATCAACTATACGTTTAAAAATGAGCGAAGGTAAAATCAAATGAGTTTCAAAATAAAAATAAAGCAACAATAATAATTATTGAAATTTATTTATAAAGAGGTGGTAACCACAACAACTAATAATGCTGAACAATTCGATATTGTCACGTGTTATCAAAAATTTCTAAAAGATAACCCGGTATTTCTTTCTTCTTTCTTAAATATATCTTATGAACTTCTGTTATTTACATGAACCAAAAACTTATCCCAAAAATTTTCATTGGCGTGATAATCTTAATCATGTTTTGTGATTAAATTTAATGTGATAAGGACATATCTATGCCCATTGCAGCAATAGAATCATTAGTTGAATTAATAAAACATAGCAAAGGTAATAGTTAGTTTTTCATATTGATTAATTTTTCCTCAATTAACTCATTTAATTACATTATTCCTTTTAGCAACGACACTATCGGAATTTATGGAATCCCTTAAAGATGCAAGTCAAAAACTTAAATCTTCTGTGAGGAATTCTATTTCGTTATCAGCAGGAGCTGACCTATTTTTGAGGTTTGTTACAAGAACATCACACGATGTAACAGTACGTTAAATTACCACATTAAGAACATTTTATCTCTATTTTCTAAAAAATTTATTTTTAAAAGCATTTTATTGATTGACCATATTAGAATTTTGAAGCATGTAAAGAACATTTAATGAATAGTGGAAAGGTTTTAGTTGAAAAGGCTGTAGCAGTTAGACATAAAATTGCTGAATTGGGTGTACAATTTATTAAAGATGATGCAGTTAAGTTTCTTTTGTAGAAATGCTTGATTTAGTTTTTAAAATTTAATCGATTTAAAAAAAATGTTTTGAATGTGTAGACGATATTGATTCATTCATATTCTCGTGTGGTAATGTTACTTCTTCAACAAGCAGCTGCTCATAAGATACGATTTAATGTCTACGTGACAGAATCGAGGCCGACATCTTTAGGGTAAGAAAAAGCAAATATCTTAAAAAGAAAAATATTTTAATTTAATATAATTAATCGATTATTTAATAGAATTAAATCAGCCAAAATATTGTGTAAAGCTGGTATTCCTGCTACAATTATACTTGATACAGCCGTCGGTTATGTTATTGATAAAGTTGATGCTGTATTTGTTGGTGCTGAAGGCGTTGTTGAGAATGGCGGGTTAATCAATGCGGTATTAATTTATAAGATTTCAAAATTATCTTTATAATTACTTTCGTATTTATTAAATAAATCAATTTAGATTGGAACTTATCAACTTGCAGTTGTTGCCAAAGCTGCTAATAAACCATTCTATGCTGTAATTGAAAGGTAACTATTTAAGAATATCATTAAAATCATTGTGATTTTATGAATTTACTAAATATTAATAATCCATTATTTTTTACAGTTATAAATTTGTTCGTTTATTTCCACTTAATCAGTATGACCTCCCAACACACACTTCTGACTTATTAGCATTTCCTGATTTGGAGTCCCGTTGTTACCAAGAATCTCAAATTGGTGAAAATAGCGAACAAAACATTAAAGAAGAGGATTATGATGTTGAAAATTTTGTGGTAATTATACTAAAATAAGTTATTTTTTTTTTTTCATTGATTTTTTTTTAATTTTTATATTATATGTATCGTTCTAGGCTAGAAACCCAACGGTGGATTACACTCCTCCTGAATATATTACTTTATTATGTACTGATTTAGGTGTATTAACTCCATCTGGTGTTAGTGATGAATTAATTAAATTATATTTATAATAATAGATATAATAATTTTATTTTATTTACAAAATAATAAATTTAAAAAAATAAATATTGTAATCATTATCATCTAATTATTGATCCAAAATATATAAAATGGTGTAAGATAATTTTTTAATCTATTAAATTAAAAAGGCAATGATGGTTTGCTCTTTTCCTTTTCTTCAAGTTTTCCCTAGAAAGGTAAAATAACGAATTAGCCAAAAAAATAAAATGCAAGTTTAAATATAAATTAACATTATTAATTATTTTTACCTTTCTCCAATTTTCGATAGTTTTTGGCATTTCTTCCAAAGCTTTCTGTATTTTCGCTTTCCTATATAAATTCAAATGAAATTTAACGTTTAGAACCTTGTTTCTTTCTGTATATGAAATTCTGAAAGAGCTCATATATGAATGGCGTTCAATTAGAACTACTTCTCTTATATATCTTACCTCTCCGGAGCATTTCTTTCGTGTTTAGCACCTTTAGGAGGTTTAGTTCTAGGAGGTTTCTTTTCTTTCTTGGGTGGAAGCCCAATACTCTCCGTATTTATTCCTAAACATTCAGCATTTTTTCTCATATCAGCCAATTTACGTAAAGATACTTTTGGGTGCATATATCTTTTACGTCCCCATATATTTTTGTACATAAATTTAGGTTTGAAATCTGAAGGTGTATAAGTTCTTCTTAAATGGTTTAATGCTTGTTCGGATATTCTTTTTATAGCCGACATTTGAGAGGAAAATAAAGGAGGATGAATAGATGTGTTGAATTTGTTAAATTTAAGATCATGGTCCTTTATCGCCCAATCAAATTTTATAATTAAATATAGTATCTGTATGTACTGATTCGTAAAAATTTTGCGATTAAAATGATCATGCATTACAAACAGTTTATTAACATCTCTCAAAATGTCAATATTTCCATTATTATTACTACTATCGTCTAAATACGTGTAAAATGCTTGATTCATTAAGTCAACAACGTTTTACATTATTATTCTGCTCTTTATAATTATTAGATTTATCATTAACCTAAATACTGTATAAAGAATCAATATCCTTAATTAGCAAAATTTGCTAATGCATCAATACAAGTATTTCATTATTTACATAATGATATATTTGCGTTTCTGCCAGTTCTTTCTGTTTCAGCGGTATACTGAAATTGTCTCAAAGCATGTTGTCCCGAACTTTGACAGGAATTTCAATTCGGTGCCAATTGAACTTTATAAAGAGAATTGAATAATACAATACGTTCATAAGAAATAAAACGTTAACTGTTAACACAATATAATGATAACTTACAAATTTTTTTTAGTTTTAAGACGTAAAAAATTAAGGAGTGATTAGAAATGAAAAAATTTCAATAATAAGATTTTAACGATCATTGTTTCAATAATTAAAGATTTTTCTATATATGTATATTAAATCAACCATATTTATCAGTTTTGACAAATAGTGAAAAGTCTGAGTGATAATTGCGGATTCATGGATTTTAAAAATAGGTTTGAGAAAAAGGCATTTGTATTCGGATAGTTATATTAGTACTCTCATATTTATCTAATCAGATATTTATGTAACATCCCGTGAATCCTTTTTGTTGTACCACAATCTACTGAATGATCTCACCACCTCGGGAGGTGATGCCTAGCCGTCACCGTTCATGTGACTGCAGCGTTCGCGTTGTTTATATTTATCTCAGCGACTTGTTTTTTTGAGTGGCCTGATCTCTATTTGTCACCTGCATAATATGTCACCTGTATCCTAATTCCTGATTCCTACGGTAAATAAAATCGCGTAAAAAGTCGCGTTAAAATATCACATTTCTTCGTCAAATTTTTCTTGACAATTTTTTTTCTACTCAATAACCTAGATTGTATTCAGGTAAGCATACCTTTCCTTCTATTAGTGGAAATGCTACCTTCTCTTTTGCGAGAAGCTACCTTCCCTTGATGGGATGCTGTCTACCTTCTCTTTTGCGAGATGCTACCTTCCCTTCTTTACTACATATCACATGTCAATTAACTGCTTACTCTCTTTTTTAGCCCCAAAATATAACGGACATCCCTGTTGCGGGAAACCTGAATTATCTGTGATGTTATATGGAGATACAGCATTAACGGTCTTGAGGGAGAAGAACTTGAAATATGGTTACGGGAGACACAAAAACTTTCATTTGAACATGTACACAAAAAACGGCATGTTGGGTAAGCATTTCTATGTTATTTATGTTTTTTATGTTGACTTTTTGGAAAAATTCATCCACTGATTCTAATTTAATATACACTTCTTTAAAAACGAAGATGCGAGTAATTTTTACTATGATTATAAAGACATCATTCTTGATGGTCCTACAGACAACGAGAACATCGGGATAAAGGAATCATATTATTTTGGTGGTTCAAAGAGAAAGATTGTTTATTTGAAAGTAAGTATTGACTGTTATATTTAATTATCTATGATTTATCAGACAATAAAATTAACAAATGTAGCTTTAACGATTCTGTTATTCAGGAGACAAAACCGATAATTATAACTACTGAAGAAGCTATAATTCTGGAAGAAGCTATAACTAAGGAAAGGTGTAATAACGATCGGACTGAAGCCATAACTCAGGAAAGGTCACCACCCGTAGTTTCAGGATATCCCGTGCCATACTCACACTAGAAGAAACGGCAATTAACACACATTTTTGCTGATGAAGAAAAAACTGATGGAATGTATGTAGGCGTTGCTCAAAAACCAGCCGGTTTTTCCATTAAATCAATTCTTAACGATGAGTCAGATGATCCAAGCATAAACAACAGAAAAAGAAAACATGGTAAGTCCAATAATTTTAATCATGTACTGTATCAATTTTATATCAATTTTATATTCTATTGTTTTTTATATTAGATCTCGAAATTAATGAAGAACTACGTGATGAAGTTTATTACAAGTTATTACCTTCTATACTTAAGATTAGCGAAACAATTCAAAGCTCTCGTGACTACCGGGAAAAAAGTTATGTTGTAAGGGATAAAAACGAAAAAGAAAAATATAGAATTATGGCGAATAAAAAAGTCATATATCAGATATCCTTAAGAAACTTAAGAAACAAAACTCTGAAATTTTACTTAACGATTTTTAAATTTATAAAGTTTCTTATTCTTGGCTTAAGATTTTAGTTGCTTCTTACTTCAAAGTTTCACTTCTATGTTTATCAACTCAACTTCAATAACTCAGTTTGTAATTACTTAAAGCTTATCTAATAATAATAAAGTTTATAATGTGGTGCGTAATTATGTATCGAAACATGACTTTGTTATTCCCATCATGTGAGAAGCATCATAAGGCGATATGGTATTAATTAAATTGCGGAGTCCCCGGCGGTTAGAGTCCTAAGAACCGGGTTCTCCGACAAATAATACGTGACATAATTATAATACCACAGATCAGAGTAGTAAAATATGGTCAAGTTCGTGTGGTGCAATCTTTAATTCCGGATAAATCCTTTTAAATGCAAGAAGAAAATTTTTTTCATCTTTTCATTTTTTTAAAAATAAAAAATCATGAATATATTTACGATTCTTCGTCAACTGATCCGAACAAAGTGATTTTCTTTGAATTCGGAAAAACTGTCTTGATACAAAATACGATTTCAACTTACATCCTTCTATTCAAGTAAAAAACTCTGAGACTTCTCGGAGAGCAAGAAGTTAAAATCCCTAGATAATTTATTGAAGAGACAAGAGCGTTAACAAAATTTTGTATAGCCAGTACAAGACGCGGTAATTTATTTAGCCGATATTTTTATCTGCACCTCGTGTTTAAAGGAGATAAACAAATCCGGGTTTTTGGAACCATAAACAAATGGACATTTGTTATAATAAAAATTAATTATAACGTATACTCTACTCTTAAGGGGCTTGGTTGTTTATAAATTATTTCATTTTTTATTAGAATAATTAATTTATTAGTTATTTAATTTTAAAAAGTAACAAAAGTAATATTGTTTTGGTATATTTAAAGGCTTACCGTATTTTGCGGGCCACAGTACCCCCCCTATGCACAGTACCCTACAAAAAAGAACTCCCATTTTCTACCGATTTTATTATTTAAAATAATTTAATAAATACCTAGGTATTACTCATGATAAATACCCAATTATTATATAAGTTTTATACATATCTACTAATAATAAAAACTCACACAATGGTGGGGGGGTATAAGGTCAAAACCTCTGAAATCTGTATCATACCCGGGGTACTGTGGCCCCCATTATACGGTAGTTGTTTTTTAAATTATTTCATATGAACGATTTTTACAAAAGCCATAAATATTTAAGCAATTAAATCGAATTAAATTGCTATTTTAAAAAAAAAGTAATAAAAATCAATAAAAAAAAGCTTAGATTTTATAATTGTTTCATATGAAAATATTTTATATATAAAAGATTAAACAAAGTAATAAGTATTATATGGGATTTGGGATGGGATTTGAGTGAGATGGGATTTGGATTTGGGACTAATGGGATTTGGGATTCTCCCAATCCCATTAATATGGGCGGCAAGTATAGATAAAATAAAGCTGTCCGCCCTGTTGTTGTACTGTATAGTGTAAATAAAGGAGAAAGGAAGAAAATTGGATTTACTTAAAATATCTTATCAAAAAAAAAATTAGTTTACGAAAAAAATTTTAATTTTGTGTCTGTAATCTATGAAAAGTTTTTTTTTTTTAGTAATATTCGGTAAAGGTTTTTTTTGTTGTGTTTTAAACGAGAAATGCGATTTTTTTTGTAATAAAAAAAAATGATCGTTTGTGAAAAAAATTAATGCGATAACGATAATGTCAATAAAGCATTCAATAATGCCGAATAAAGAATGAATGGTATCGAAAGTTGAATCATATCTGATTCTATTTGTGATTGGGAAAGATTCAATAACGATAAAGTATCCAATAATGATAAAGCATCCAATAATGCTGGATAAAGAATGACTGGTATCGAAAGTTGAATTATATTTGATTCATTTGAAATTTGAGGAAGTTCAATGGCGTTTGATTGTGATTGCAAGAAATTTTCATTCATATTTGATGCATTTGAAGTATAAGAAGAAGGTTCTGTCTTTATACACAAACCAGGTGTTAATTTCGATGAATCATTATTTCCAATTGAAGGTATGCAAGATGATAAAGTTGAATTAGAACTCCGTCTTTTCAAAAATCTACCATCAGATCCTCGTGGTCTGCGCCTAGCATGATTACGGCGAGCTGGGTTAATGATGTGCTAAAAATAATTTTAATTTTAATAAAAATTAAATATATTTTTTTTTGGATAATAAATTTTTTCACACCTTTAGTTTTTTAGAGAGATTAGATTTGTTACGATCGCTTCTACGTTTGAGAATTCTATAGCGTTGTTTAGGATTAACATCATTGAGTTCACGATTATTATTAACATTTTTATAAACAATGTTTGATATGATCTTTTTAGGTTTATTAGAAGTAACATTTAAGGTATAGGTGGGAGAAAATAATGGAAGTGATTGTTGTGGTTTAGTAGAAATTTGATCATTTTCAACATTTTCAGCAATATTCAGTGTCGTTACTTTAAGAATTGCTCGTTCAATGTCACCGAATAATTGATTAGGTTCTGATGACTATTTTTGAAAAAAAAAATGCGGGAAAATTTTTTAGATTTGGATGCGTGGGAAATTATTAAATTAATAAAAAAAAAACAATCCCCCTTACCTTTGATTGTGAAGCAATTTGATAATGCTCAATTTCAGGCGCAATCGGAGAAATTGACTAAAAAAATAATAAAGAAAATAAAATTAGATAAAAAAAATGAGTACATAATACAAAATAACTTTGAATCAAAAATATTACAATATCATCATTTTGATACGAAGGCACATCGAACATTATCGTATTGTTGGTAATATGACACTTTCTGAAAAAAAAAATGTTTTTTAAGAATGATAATAAAATTTAGAATCAAATGACAATAGCAGAGTAAGTAAATAAGATTTCTCGATTACTTGATGCATTTAAATAAAAATCAAAAAAGCTGATTTATTTAATCATTGTTTATTGAATTTCAAACTTGTTCCAATTATCCAATACAATAAATCACTATGCTTTTTTCCTACTGCAGAAAATAATATTGGATCGTGATTCATGTAAAACGTTAATATTGGATAGAAACGAATGGATATAAACGAATATGGTGACATTTAGGTTGGAGTAATTACTATCGGCTAATTTATTATGTTTATTTATGGAATAAGTTTTTATGGTTAAAAATAATTAAAAGTATCACAATTAATTGTTTCATTATTCTTGAATTTCTAGAATGCTATAAAATCATTCTATTTATTACTTAATTCGGCCTAAACGATAAACAATATGCACAGAAAATTTGAGAACAATTTGACAAATACTAGATGCGGAAAATTTACTATCCCAATTTTCCGGGCCGAGTATCATATTGGTTTAATGTTACCATGAAAAAACGCAAAAGGATGCAAAACATTACAGCAAAAAATATTTATCACATTTTAAGCCAGGTAATAATAAAATCACGCAAAAAAAAAATTAGCTCATATTCCGATTACTTGTGACAAATAAAATTTAAATCATTTACATTTAAAAGGAAAAGATTGGAGTTTAGATGCTTTTGAAAAAAAAACCATGCATGTGTTAACTTGTATTAATGCAGCATTAAATTAAAGCTTCTTTGTGCAATATAAAGACAATATTTTAAAGAAACAAAGATTAAACAGATTATCTATCATAAAGCACATTATTTCTATTAAGGAAATTTATGCAGGAGGATCATAATGTTACAGAAATTACAATGAATTGTGAAATCTTTTTTAACAATCGCATTTGGTCAAGATCAACTAAAATAAAAGTTTCGTAACAAATAATGGATCATGAAAAAACGCAGAGGCTAAACAGAGAGGCGTAGTACTAGACTACTAGTGGCAGTTATTTTTATTCACCGACAAAAATTTAGCGATCATGTGACATATTTTTAATTTATCACATCGTCACACCCTCTAATTTCACCAAATTTATTCCGGCTAATTTCGGCTAATTACTACCCAGTTAAAAATTTTAGCCCATGGTAAAAAGCGAAAAGCGCAGTCATTATTGATTTAGTAATCCAATTACGTCAGTTATCCTTATTAGGCAATGATCACAAGACACAAAAAAATTTTTTAACAATCCATATTACTATTTTAGTTTAAAATGTTTTCAAAAATTCCTTCGTAAAATTCTTTTTAAGGTAATTTTATGATGATATCTTTTTGCATAAGGCTGTTTCAAACTGAATAATTTATTTTTAATTGTTGAGAAAATGGCTCTCTGATTTTTCTTTCTTTTTTCTTTTTTTAATTTTACCTTTTAAAAAAAAATTTAAAAGTTATTTATTATCCATACTAAATTGTTTTTATTCTTTCAGTTTTATTAATAAAATTAAAACTATATATGGTATACAGAAAAATACTATTAATAGATTTTATCATGTGAAAAATTGATGTAATCGGATTTAGGCTAAAAAAAATGCATTTTATTAAAATCAATAAACTATTATATTGTTTCGAAATGGAGGCATTTTACCATTAAAAAATCCGAAACCTTAAAAATTCGATAACTTGCGTTTTATTATGTTTTAAGTAGTGCGAAAAGTTCAATTGAATACATGAAAACCTATAGAACAATGAAATACCTTGTTTTTGAAAATACTAAAAAAAAAGCTTTTTTTTTTTCTATGAAAGAAGTTGTTCTGAAATAGATTTTTATTAATTTCGAAGTGAAAATGAAACTTTTTTTAGAAAATCGGCCCATTTTATTAAAAGGAAAGTTACTTGGAATGTCCTTGTCGAAATTAGAGCGAGAATATTGAGAAGGATTTAAATTTATGGAAGTTTAAAAAATGTATCAATTTTAATAAAGTTTAGAATTATATCGAAACACACATAATTCATAACGTTTTCTGGAAATTTTGTCCCATTAATAATTGATTTGTGTCCCGATATTTGTTTCCTGTTTTAAGCCCGAAGTATTCCCGTGAGTGATTTCAAAGAAGTTTTCATCTATATACATGCAGAAACTGGAATCTTAGGCGCGTTTTTTTTTGCTTTGGTTTATTATAATTAATCTATTCTTTAGTAAGTATCTCATTACAATGACTTCCATCTATATTCATGCAGTAACTGGAATTTAAAATATGATTTTCTATAATTCTTATATCCATATATAGTAATGTTATAAGTAAATTCACAATTGTTTTTAGTAAATGACTCATTACAATAACTTTTTTTCTGGACATCGGTAGTCCAAATGTTAAACATGGCGCTCCTTTCTGGCAATGATTATTATTGGACAAAGTCAATATTAGCATTAAAACTGACTTATTTTACTAGAGTCCTATATGATGCTGTCGAAAAAAATTTAATAAGTTCGATTGGAGTAAATTTTATGATGAGTGGAATGATGAGACTTTCGGCGTATTAAATATGATCTTTTGGATGCGTTCTTCTGTAATAGATAAAATTCTATCTGAAAACTGAAAAAATGAACGATCTTACAATATTAAATTCAATAGCTTAAATTTAGGATATAACTACAAGTCTACAAAGAACCTCCTAAATAAAATATTTTAGGAAAAAATGTTTTTGTGCTACATAATTTACATTTTAATCTCATTTCATCTTTAGTGCTATAAATCAATTCTCGCAAGAACATAAATTTTTTAAGAAATTACGTACTAATCGCTTAAAGTAATATTCAAAGGGAATTCTAGCGGAATCACGCCCAGTGATTTATTAAAATATATACACTAATCTAGTCGCTGATTCAATTTTCAACTTTTCATCTTGATGAACATTTCTTTGAATTTCTTTGAGCATGCATCATTTTTGTCAATCTTGATCGCTTCTGTAAACTCAAGATCATTATTCCACGAACCCTAAAATGTAAGTTTGAGATAATAAACTAAATAAAAACTAGGAAACGGTAACCGTTGGTGCGTCCGAAGCATCATAAATTACATGTTCATAAATTTAAACTGAACACTAAAAATATAACACTAAAAATGCTAAAAAAAGTAATAGTATCACTAAAAAATGTCATTTTATTATCATATTTTCATACTTTGTACTGTGTTGCAAATTTTTAATTTATTCTCATGATTGTCAAAAAAAAAACATTTAATTAAAAAAAATACAAAATGTAAAAATTATGAGTAAAAAAAAAATTAATTTATTATTTGAATGCCATAAAAAACTTTTAAGAAATAAGAAAATTTAAATCAGGGATAAAAAAATTTTTAAATTTAACGTATAAACAGTAGTCATGTGACTTTATAAAGATATTTTTAGAATCAGGGGCATAAAGATGCACGTAAACAAATCTAAGGTTACACCTGATCCTTAGATTTTATTGGCCATACACGCGTGCGGACAGACACCAACATGCATGGTATGGAGTAGAATGGAAGTGTCCTACGCTTACGCTTCGGACAATTATAAAAATTAAATTATTAATTGAATAATATTAAAGTGCCCAACTATTATAATATAATTAAATGTATAAGAGGATTAAATTCATGCATGATATTTTCTAGCCATTTTCTCTAATGAATTTATCTAAAATGATAACTGATAGTGATAATAATATCTAATTAAAATAATTAATAAATAAATCTAATCTCACTTATCATAGTTTAACAATATTTTTAACAAATATTTCCATCTTTAGTAACGTTAATAACAAAATGTTTTGATAGGATCAATAAAATCTTTGGATTTAATACGAAATCTCGACATTCGTTATCCCCGACATTCATTAACTATCCTGAGTCCTGACACGCTATTTTTTTTTTTTTTATTACTTTTTTTATAGACGTAATATTATTGTAATATTTTGTAATAAATATCTAATGATTTTTAAAATATAACGCAAAATTACAGTTTTTATTGTAAAAATAATGAATGTTTTTATTATCTTTTTTATTAATATTTAATAATACATTGCATTTTTATTAATATATAATGATTTTTTTAACATTGTTTGTTTGTTTTATTGTAAAAATTAAATATTTCTTAAGGATAATAAGTGTTCAGGATAATGAGAATAATGTGATTACGGATTTTGAAGTTTCGGGATTATGATTTGTTGGGTTTGTGAGAGTCGGGTTTGTGTTATGATAGGATTTTGATTGTCGGGATATTGAACAGTCTCCCAAAGAGTTTATTAGTATTTTATTTATATCCAAGTTCTCTGCCAAATTGTGATGCTAGGGTGAGAAAGTAATGGATAAATTATTAACTGTATGTACAAAATAATGGTAGTAAATTATAAATCATAATTTAGATAATGATTGACTTAAGAACTAGATTAAAGTCAGCTTGGAAAGAAGAAACCCTCATATTGAGATAGGAAATTAAGTGCACTACCAACCTAATGCAGTGCACTTAAAGATATCCCACTGAAACTTATAAAGAAGAGAATTATTATTAGGGAGTAATATCAGTAAATTTCCTTAGTAAAAAATGTTAACTGGACAGCTTATCACTTCATGTATATTAAGAGTGAATTCTTATTTGTGATAATCATGCGATTATAATGACATAATAAATAATGATAGAGTTTTCCAATTAATTCTGAACCAAAAGAAGTTATAACTATTAATCGCATTTCTTAACGTTCTTCAATAATTAGGAACAACTGTTTTAATTGTGGAGTAATTACCTTATAATACAGCTCAATTAGATAATTTTTTTTTTGATATAGCACGTAAAATATATTTTCTCAGAATGGTAAGCAATTAAAAATATTCATTTAGGATGAAATATTTTTATAAAAAGTTTCAAATCGTCTAAATCGATCCGAACGTAATGCAAAAATCAACATGTCGGCAAATATAGAAAACCATCAACTGAGCTGCAAACAAATAAAAATAAAAAATCCAAAAAACTGAAAATTTACTAGTTGTTAAAATATTTTGATGATAAATTTAATATTGCAAACAGCGCATACAATGCTGAATAATGAAGTTAGGAAACCGTATCACATGCCTGATATATGTCGACAGAGCAAACAACTGTCAGGTCACACCAAGAACATTAGAGTAAAAATTGGATTATTATCATTTCCACCGGAATAACTGAAAAGCTTTAAATGGATGTTAAATGATTAGATGATGCAGCAAAAGGTTCAAGCTTCAAAACTCTATCTAAATCCAGTTCATCCGAATCAAGAAGATATTCTCAGAACCAGATCCGAGTTTAATGCATCTTTGCCTTAAAGAAATTTAGAAAGAAAAATAATCCTTAGATTACTATGTGTGGCAGCTCAATATAAATCTTCCAATATGTGAAATATCCAGCTCAATTAGATTAATTGAATCGGACCAGAGGTAAGCCAATTTTAATAGCCAAATCAAGAAATAATCAGTATAAATGTCTGTACAAAACATACTGTACAGCTCCAAGTATAAGCACACATACAACATGGCAAGTAGCTTTATTACAGTTAATACAGGGTTATAGGCGTGTTTGATTATCGGATATACGTTATGACAAAATTTCTGATCCAAAAAATCTAATTTTAACAGTTAATACGTGATAAAAATCAGTTATTTTACGGAGTCACTGACCCTTTTTTATACAGGTAAATAGTTTTAAACCTCAGAACAAGCTTTTATATTTTATATGTTTATTAATTTAAAATGGCAAAATACTAGAAAAATAACATAATAAACTTGTACAAAACTGAGAAAATTTTGTCGCAAAGAATAATAAAGTAGATTGTATAACGTAACTAAAGTGGTAAAAAGAATTGAAATACAATCCTTTAAGAATAAAATTATTTTAAGATAGAAACATAAAAAAATGAAAGAGTAAAGAAAAAATGATAAAAATTATTTTAAAGAACTACTTGATTAAGATCTAGATGACAAACATAATTCAAGATATTGATAAAAAATGCAAGTAATAAGAGGAGAAATAATAACACTAAGAATTTCCGAAAGTGAAACTTCTTCTGTCCCGTATCGGATTCTTATTTTAACAGTTTGTAACTTGAAAGGATTGAACGGTTTGGCTTAACTTCTTATTAAAATCATCGCAAGAAAATCCGATTTCATCTTTTGCACAATTGGGGTCTGAATATAATCGAACGCAACAGCTTTCAAGGAGTCTTGCGTCCCATTTCAATTTAGAGCCACTATTAGCAGTAACGGCTTTACATGATTGGTTGGCTTCTCCCTTAAAATCTTTTCCGCCTAAAGTTAACTTCCAAGCAAAAGCTTGAACTGAAATAAGAGATAGAATAAAGAAAATTTTAAAGATTATTGAAGCCATTTGTTTTGCTGTAAAAGATTCAAAAGCTGTGATGTTCTGTAATGAAATTTTTTTTGGCCTTTTTATAGCTTACAGAATTACAGAAAATAAGTATAAACAATATACATCATAATTATTTTCTTTTCCTTTCATCGTTTCATCATGAAACAATAATTATTTTCTTTTGACAACCTGTTTTATTATATTATTGCTCTTTTTCTATTCTTTTATGGAATATAATACTACATGAGATTTAAATAAGATGATTGTAATATTTTTGGATTATATTATTAGAATTCCCTAATTTAGTTAACAAAAATCGGCGTTCAATAGATAGCTAATTTTTATGTCATGAATGCAAGATCTTTCTGCTGCTTTTCGTTGGAACTCAAAAATGGAAAATTACAATCAAATACATTATAAAATACATTGTTACAATTTCCTTTTTTGAATTCTGCGGGCACGTTTAATCATCCCCTTTTGATCCTTTTATATCCACAAAATGATTAAGATCCAAACCAAATTTGGGAAAAAGTATAACTTGGTTTTTTTGCGAAAAATTTTTAGGCACACTATAAAATGTGCATTATTTATTTAATGGATATAGGATAATATACTATAATTCAATGTAGCTATTATATGATAAAAGAGTTTTTTTTTTTTTTTGAACTGCGACCTCGTGAAAAAGATTGTTACGAACCAGTATTTTTTTTCCTATCGAGAATTAAGGGCCCTATAAAAAATTTTCACGGAAAAAACATGGAACGATAAAACACGGATCAACATTTTACAGATCACAAGGTAAATACGTGCTATGCGTATCTATATAGTATCATTTTTCCATTTTTACCAAAATCGTAATCTATAAGACTTTATTCGTTTTCTTTTATTTTTAATCTTTCCCGTAAACTTTTGGCCATTTATGACTGTCTTGACGTTATCGTAAGTTTCATATTATGGCATTATTTATTTGATTGCGAAATATTAGTTACTGCTTGATTTTGGGGAATGTTTATAATAATTTCTCGATCGTAATCTGGTTAGTACTTGCCCTTGACTTAAATATATTTTGTATTTTTCCTTGAAATTCTATTGATATCTACGTGCAATTAATTTATTGTGTTCAAAGTTTTGAACCTACATTCTTTATGTATTTGTATGCATTTTAAACATGATATCTTTACGTTGGAGTATTTATCTGATTATTATTATTAATGTTTTTGTAAAACTATTTGATAAATTATTTTTATGGAGTTAAATTCGATTTCATTCATTCAGAATTGTATTTATCATGGTCAGTATCCACCCCTTCAATTGTTAGATTTCATGTCGATTAGGAAATCATCCTTTGATTGAATGAATATGATTAGTTTGTAATTACGTAATCAATTTTGATGATCATTGCGACAAAAATTGGAAACGGTCTTAATAACTTTGATCGAAATTTCACAGAAAATTAATTTATTTAATTTATATCATAAAATTTGTATAATACATATTTTCAATAAATTTAATGCTATTAAATTTTCAAAGTAATGGAAAAACTTTTTTCCAAATGGTTATGTTGACGATGTGCCCCAAATCAACGCCCACCTTTATAATAATACCTTAAGAATTTTCTTGCATTGAGATTTCGGGCACAACAGTTAGACCCCATAAGCATATGATAATTAAAAAATCGTGAAATCACGTGACCGGACCCAACTCCGGCTTTTGATTGACCGGGCCTCATTTAGTAAAATTTATCGCCGTTTTCAGAAATATGTGTAATCTAAGAAAAAAAGTTTTTTTTTTCTTTGTTAACTTTAGTAAGACAAGCTGCGATTTTTTTTTTCTTTATATAAACACACTCGAAACTCATAAAAGTTTCGCGAATTCTAGCGATTCTTCTCGAATTTTATAAGGTAATTGTTATATTTCAAGACAGATAAGTTGTAATGTTTGCGATTTTTTTATAGGCGATCTTTACATAAGATTTACATATAGAAGATTCTTTTATGACGAAACTTGCAAATATTTATTTATTTCGTTAATTTAAGTTAAATACTGTAATTTATATAAATTTTTTACTTATTTTAATTACTTTAAATATTTGTAGAGCTATTAGAGGTTGTTCCTAGTGATATTATATACTGTGAGCTCTTTAAATTATCGTACTTTGTGGTTGTTTTAATTGTCTTAGTGAAAATTTAGTTATGTAAAAATAACACAAAGAAATTATTCTTAAAAACATTAAATACAAGTTCTTGGTTTATACTTTTTATTTTTCAAATGTTAAAGAGTTTTTTATAATCACTTATTTCTTCATTCATAACAAAATTTTCGGATAGTTTATGTTACACAGTTTGACCAAAATTTCGAGTTTCGAAATTTCACGTGTAGACTAAATTATTATATTTCTGAAAACGGCGATAATAATTTAGTAACATTTAGAAGTTCACTAACTTTTTTTTAAAAAATTAAATAACATGTTTCCCCTTTTCACAAAAATTCCTTTTATCACAAAAAAATCCCTTTTCCACCAAACATTCCTTTTTTCAGAAAAACTTCCTTTCTTTTTGTTGATTTTCTTTATCTTTTACTTGAATTTCTTAATCTTTATCTTTAATTTCTTTATCTTTATCTTCAATTTCTTTATCTTTATCTTCAATTTCTTAATCTTTTTCTTTAATTTCTTTATCTTTTTCTTGAATTTCTTTAGATTTTCTTTGAATTTTTTTAGATTTTCCTTGAATTTCTTTATATTTTTCTTGGATTTCTTTAGATCTTCCTTGGATTTCTTTATCTTTTTCTTGGATTACATTGCTTTTTTCTTCTAAAGTTTCACTTTAACAAAAATTCCCTTTTTCACAAAAAATTCCTTGTACATCTTTTCAAAAAATTTAATTACATTTTTAATAAATTCAAATCATTTTTCTAATACATATAATTATCAAAATTATATTATCAATTTTTATCTTTTTTAATTTTAACAATCATTATCATTATTTTTTTTTATTTATTTATTCTTTTTTATCTTAACATCATTTCCTTAATTTGAAGTTTCAGGTCGTTCTAACTCGAAATATTGATTTCTCAAATTATAATGACCATTATCAATTGTGTACTTTGCTAAATTACATACAATACATAAATAATAGTTATTGGATAGGGGGGTTGAAATATCACCAAACTGCGAAGCAGTTCGGAATATATTTTAACCCCCCTACCCAATAACTAATAACTGTGTTATTATGCAGACGTCCAAGATCATGTTCCATATGAAAAGCATAGTAAAATCAAATCTCATGCAACAATAATATTGGTCCCATTATATTTTCCTAACCCTATTATTAATTATTATACTATACATAGATACAATAACATAACGATAAATAAATCATTGTCTTTATTCTCTTTTAATTTTGGGCTCGTATTTCACGTGCCTTTTCAACTGGCGAAGGCATTACTATTAAAAAATCCGAAAATTTAAAAGTTTGATAACTTTACATTTAATTAACATTTTAGCATTTGAAAAATATAAAAATTCAAATAAACACTCTATAATTTGAAAGATAATGTAGCAGTTTCACTTTTTTGAAAAACACTAAGGAGAAAATTCTTTTTAGAAAAAACAAACTGTCACATGAAAGAAACAATGTTGGGGTGTCAATGATAGGAAGAATTTAATTTTATGGAAGTATAAAAACATATCAATTGAGTATGGAATTTATTATAAGACGGAGTTAACCTATAGTTTAATCAGAAAAATCTTTAATAGTAAAATTTATAGGCGTCCACATATAGTTTATGGTCATAATCTGGTTAGTACTTACCTTTGACTTTATATTTTTCCTTGAATTTCAAATTCGTATCTTATTGATATCCAAAATGACTTCATTTCCTGTAATAATTATGTAGTTGATAGTGCATATTCAAATCTGAAATCTCGAATATCAAAATTTCAAATTCTTTTACTACAATAATTTCTTGAATTATCAGCTTTACGTGAGTTTCGATTGATTTATTTTTTATTTGGCCAAATAAATCATCTTTATTTCATTAATTATTAGTATAGATTCCGTGCAATTAATTTATTAGTTTGTTTTGTGATCAAAGTTTGAATATACTATTTACCTACATTCATTATGTATTTGTATTAAACATTCGTTTATTGATATCGGATTATTCCAATTTTTTTTTTTTTTTTACGTTGGAGTATTTATCATTAATGTTTTTTGTAAAACTATTTGATAAATTATTTTTATCGATTTCATTCATTTTTTAATTTGATTAAAAGTTGTTTTTCTTAACCTATCCAGTATCCACCCATCAATTTGTTGTCGATTAGATTAGTTTGTAATTTTTCAAAATTCAAATAACATTTAATAAATTTAAAAATTTAGTAACATTTAGAAGTTCACTAACATTTTTAAAATTAAATACATCTTTTTTAAAAAACACATGTTTATAAAAAATTAAATGCATCTTTTTAAAAAATCTTTCTTTTAAAAAAATTACACATTTTTTAAAAAACTAAACATTTTTTCCACAAAATTTGGTTTTTCCAATTTTTTCCAACAAAATTTGGGCTTTCCAATTTTTCCTGCGTTTTCCCAACAAAAATTGGTTTTTCCAATTTTCCCAACAAAACCAATTTTTCCTGAGTATTCCCAACAAAAAATTGGTTTTTCCAATTTTTCCTGAGTATTCCCACAAAAATTGGTTTTTTTAAATCATCATCATTATTATAATTTATTTACTTATTCTTTTTTATCTTAATATCGTTTCCTTAATTTGAAGTTTCAGAACGTACTGACTCGAAATATCGAGTTCTAAATCATAATGGCCATCATCAATTGTGTACTTTGCTAAATTACAATACATAATTATAATTAACAGAAATGATAACATAATACCATTATCAAATTTCTCACTATTATTACATACGATAGCTAAAGAGACAATCGTAGTAAAATTGTTAATTATGTTATTTATTAGATGTACCATTGTTACAAAATAAAACTGAAACCTAGTAAAAAAGAATTAGAATATGGCTATTTATTTTATAATAAAAATTCTTAGTTCCACCGGAAATTGTATATCAGGGGCGAAAAGGATGTGACACGTGTGATCACTGTGATGAAGATATGTTGAGAACAGTTTGAGGATTTACTGTATAATCCCGCACCCGTGGTGTAACCGAGGTGATGTTTATTGTCACATGTCACGTGACCGTGAGGAACGCGTTGTTTATATTTATCTCAGCGACTTAGAATTTTTTTTGCAGTCTGATCTCTATTTGTCACACCTTATTTGTCACACCTTGGACGGGTTGGGACGGGTTTCTGTTACTAAAAATAGTAAAGCCCGGTTACACCACGGGTGTGGGATTACTGCTCCAGTTTGAGAACCATATGAAAATCATTAAAAATATTGTTATATTAAATTACTATAAATTAATTTTTATGAGGGGTGTGTCACAAGCATTTCTTACACTATGAATTTATCCTAGGTCCTTCATTGATTGACTTTATCAAGCATCCGTAAAAGGATTTAAAAAAAAAAGCCGTAATTATACTCATTAATATTTTTAAAAATGGTAGGAATTCTATGTTGTAGGTTTGTAAATACCTGTACTTCGGAGAACACGTTGGTGATTCCTGTGAAGTTAGAGTGAATTTAAGTTTGAAGAATACAGTGAATTTAACATCAAATTTTATATTGATTTTACAAAATAACGGAATTTTGTTACGAGAAACAAGTTAAAATTCGAATTATTTTGATAATGAAAGCAATACACAAAAAGGAGGATCCCCTGAACAAATGGCTTATTTCAGGGGTATTTTTAAAAAATTTCTAAACTACATACCCCTATTTTTTAGCTAACTAACAATCCAAATTTAATGAAAATTTATACCTTTAAGTTCGTCTTAATGAGAGAAATCCAATGATAATAATTTTATTTTTCTAGCTTTAATATTTACTGAGATACAATACGGAGTGATTTTTTAACTGACATAGATAAGAGTCCTCAAAAAGGGTATAGAATTAATTAAATGTTTTTAATTTATTTATTTAAAAGTTCATCTAAATATTGTAATAATTAGAAATTATTTTTCATCAATATTCAAATCATTTTTAACGTCTTTCCTTCAAAAATGTTCAAGAATTACTCTTTATGAATATTGTATTTGTTAACCAATAAATATTTATCTAAATATGATTTATTTTTTTATAAGTTTTTCTTTTGTATATTAATTTTCTTTTTATATATTTTTATAAAATAATTTTTATTTTGTTTAATATAAAAGAATCTAATTAAAAAACTTAGTAAGTTATAGTATTTAAATTTTATGATTTTTGAAATAAAATTTCAAGTGATAAATTGGAAAAAAAAACCTTTTTGAATTAAAAATACAAATATTATACTAGTAATTGAATACGTGCTGTAGAAACCCCACAATATTTTTACTAGCAAAATAGCGATGAATACAGTATATAATATTTCTTCAATTAAAGTAGCTGTTTCAGCAATTTATCATTATTTAAATCAGTGTTCTTTCATATTAAATTGTAATTTAAATATTTAACCAATTCTGACAGGTTTATTCAGGGAAATTAAATATTTAACAGATTTTAGACAAGTTGAAAAAAAAAATAATGGTGCTAATGGATTGTTTAACGGAAAAATTCAAAGAGATTGACTGATGGTAGAAGATTTTATACTTGATAAAGGTTATTGATATACTATTAGAATTACATAATTAATCCATTTGGATTATAATAATAATACAAAAAAGAATAAGGGATTTTTATTATGATTAAAGAAAGTTAGAAATTTCCTTGAAATTTTTTGATTTCATTTACACATCTTACACTTTTATATTTATCTTCATGTGAATCATGATTCATAAAATTTACGCGAATTATTACAAGAAATTTATTCTATCAATATTTAGTTGACTTGATTGATAGCGGAATTTTACAATGGGTTAATTTGAAAATTAATATTGCAGATACCTAAAAGTATTTTACATTTTAAGTATATTTTCATTTTTCTGATATTACACATCACAATTGCTAAATCTAAATATTAGAATATAACCCAAGCTAATAATAAACGTGTTTTTACAGGATTTGCCTAAACTATCTTGAGCCTCAAGAACTTACTTAACTATTCCATCAATCTAAAACGTTCCTGGTTGTCGGTAAGCCGTAGAACATTAAAAAAGCATTAGTATTGGCCCCCTTTATAGTAAGAAACGAACAAATAAGGCTAGTATACTGTTAAAAGTCTCAGAACATTTGTGGGAAAGTTGGTCGGCAATTGATTCTTTCTCGAACACTTTGTACACATGAAGATTGCACGCCTCTAAAATATGGAAAATCAAAATTTGCATTTAGTTACTTTGGTAAAAGTTACTTATATAGTTGAAAAGGATATACAATTCTTGAACATTATTGGTCATGGTATTTAGGAAAGTCTGCATTCAACTCTGATTTGTCGCATAGTATTGAGAGTTGTCTCGATATAACGAAGTAGGCGTCCGGGCCGATCAGGCCTTCGTTATGAGAATGCTATAACAGATAACGAATTATTGGAAAAATTTGGTATAATTCAGTAAAATAGAGGAAAATCAAAACATAAGCATTTGTAGAACATGAAAGCAAAGGAAAATTTAAAACATAAATAATCTATCTTTGATAAAATGAATTAAAAGTGGTAAAATTGCTTATTTGAGAAAAATTTCATAAAACCAGCATCAAACTGCCCTTTATATTAAATTTATCTTGCAAAAATCTTTGTTATAATAAAAAAAAAAATTCGTTTTAAAAGAAATTCGTTATAAAAGGGTCACTTACATCTGTGAATTTATAAGTTCAACGTTTTACACTTATACTGCATTTTATTAGTAAAATTCGGTGTAACAATTTTTTTTTATATGATTAAATGCGTACCACACTAAAGATGCGTTATATCGTGAAATTCGTTATATTAAAATTCGTTATAGAAAGGGCTGACTGTAGGCATCGATGAAACCAAGCACCTGTGAAAGGATATAATTTTCATACAATGCATCATGATTATAACTGATAAAAATATATCCTGATATTTAGGCATATATTTGCTTCTTTAATCAGAGAAAATCTTCAACATTTATATAATCTCCAAGTTGTTTAGAATAAATTAAGGTTACTTTGAAGGACATGGGTAATTTCTGTGATTTTTTGAACTACAACAAAAATATGTTGGGTAATTACAGTATAAATTACCCGCTCAATTTTAGGCGTAGCCGCGTAGTAGCTTTTTAAATTATTATTTAATTATTTAATTACTATTTGAGGCTATACAACATATGTTTGTACAACAATCGTATTTCGCCATTTGTTATAGTTACATCACGTGCTAATTACTGCGATTGCTACTGAAAGAACAAAAAAAAAAGCCTCTAGGTTAAACTAAACCAAACATTTGTTGGAATGCTGCAACATCAAACGTGTTAATATTCAATACAGATCAAAGAAAGGCACGATGATTACAAATGACATACCTTAATACCGATATTTCTTTTCCACAGGTAAATAATTCTGTTTTCGGCTAATGTTTGTTACTTTTTTTTTTGTTTTTTTGGCTAACCTTTCTATTTTTTTTTTTCCTTTTTTTTTGGTTTATTAGTCATCCATTCAACCTTCGAAGTCTAGTTAATGAATATCAGGATCATTTGAAATGGGCAGCCTTCTTTGACAGAGGAGAATTTTTGTATGAATGAATTGTTTATACTGATTCTGAAGAGACGGAGGATTTGTTTGAGCTAAAAATTGAATTTAAAATCTGGATTGATAATTTCGCAAAAAAAAAGGGATTCAATTTTAAGGTTAGGACTAGTCGGATGAAATATATAATATTACTTACGAATGATCAAGATCAGGCGTCCATAATCCACAGATATCTAGCGACGAAATGCAACTTCATAGCGTACACAATGTCCTTTGTTACTTGTCCTAAATCAAGTAACATTGTTAAGATAAATTCGTTTGCAGATAACCATAACCATACTCTTACCTCAAGTATACAAGAAATAACTCCAAGATTTCAGAAGTTAATTACGGAAATGTTGTTTGACATAGAAAAATATGTCATACAAGGACGAATGGATTCAGATCTATTTATCCATTACTTAAACATGATTGTCCTAACTATACTATCTATAAAAAGGATTTATATAATGCGATATATCAATTTTGGGCAACCACACTTAGAACTGTCTCTTATACACATCTAGATGTGTATAAGAGACAGCATTTATTGTGGATGCCACCATCACAATGAACAGTTCCATGATTTAGTAATTTAGATACACATCAAACACAAACAGATTCCGAATGATGCATTGTGTTGTTGCTGTGATAGATAATCAATTTAAGACAAGGATCGCGACTTCTGCAATTATAGAAGAAGAAACATTAGAACCTTTTGATCCATTTTTGATTTAGTGCGATCAAGGAAATCTATCCCAATACGAACCACTTGTTATGTATCTTCCATATCGATTTAAATCTTCGTAAAAATTTAAAGGGGCAAATTCGGAACTCGTTTTGAGGAATTTGGCACAAATTTTATGCTTGTAGAAATTCTTTATGTAAGGAATTATTTGAATCTTGATGGATGCAGCTACTTGTTCAATATCTTGAATCAACTAAATATATAACAGAAACTTTTAGTAAAAAAATCATGGGTTATCTCATGGATACGTAATAAATTTACGGGTGATGTGCAAGCACACAAAGAATCGAATTCATTAGTAAGTAAATACATGATAAAAGTTGATCAGTCTACTTCTTTATGCAATTTGATGGTTAACATTAATGATTATGTTAAAGGGGAAGGACAATCGAAAAATTCAAAATTGATCGTAATGCTAATGTTATATAATAGATTATTTGGTCGGGTAGATGACATTATCAATCGATATGCTATGATATTAACTATGTAATGGATTGGCATCAATTATTAGAAGTAAGTTGACGAATCAAATTTATTCTTTATTTTTGGTTTATAAATCAATATTAATAAATCATTGATTCAGCTACCACCTCGCTGGTATCTTGAGCCTAATAACAAACAAGAAAACTTATACAACAGATGTCGGCCGTTATATTACGTTCTAATCCCAAAGAAAATATCTAATCCTAATAGTACTTTTAAACAGAACTGTTTGGATTATCAAAAAATATTATTGATTCAGCCATTAAAGCTGATATATGTTGAGAGCTATATGATATAATGTACAGAAAAAATTATGACAACTAATGATAATGTTATTGATGTTACCGGTTTGTTACCAATTCTAATATATCACTAGGCATAAAGGGTACCCACCAAAAAGGTTAAATCTAGGGTGCAAACAGATATTAAGGGATAGCACACATACTACAACAGACAACAAAGAAAATGCTGACGATAATGGCAACACCAAAGGACATGAGTATGGAAAGATTGTAAAGTGCAAACAGTACGGTCATTATGCTAAAACTTGTCAGACTTTGATGCTTTAGAATTTTCATTAGGTTTGTTGCTAGGTATCTTTAGGGTTTGTCTTTAGGTTTCTTTAGATTTCTTTATTTGTTAGGTTGGGCTTCGTTATTTCTTTAGGTATCGTAAGTTCGCTTGGGGTTTTTTCTTTATTCATTAATCATTAGTTTTCTTTAAGGTTATTCGTTGGTTGGATTTATTAGTCATTTTTATTTTAAAGGTTCTAATCAACCTTATAAAGTTTTGTTGGACTTGCACTTCCAACATTATAACCATGATCGAATTCGTTATCATTTGGGTTTATTAGTCATTTTAATTTTAATTTTAATTTGGGGTTTTAATCAACTTTGGGTTTTTAATTTGGGGTTTTAATCAACTTTGGGTATTTAATTTGGGGGTTTAATCAACTTTGGGTATTTAATTTGGGGTTTTAATCAACCTTAAAAAGTTGAATTCGTTGTGGGTTTTTTAGTCATTTTAATTTTAGGTTCTAATCAACCTTATAAAGTTTTGTTGGACTTGCGCTTCAATATTATAATCATGATCGATTATGTGTTTTATCATGTCTGATACAACAATCGATACAGATAATATAAGAAAAATAATAATTATATATAAAATCATAATAAGTATTTTTATTAAAGAATGAAAAAGTTCCATTGGAGTAAGAGTCATAAGGTATAGGAAAAAAAATAGAAAAAAAATTGAATATGTTGATATGTTGAACATGGTAAAATTTCCAGCCTTTTTATATCGTTTATCTAAGTACAAAAATTTGTGTAATATTAATATTACAACAAATTTTTACCACGTGATTTTTTGGTCATTAGATTTTTCATGCTTGTGATACAAAAATTTATAATGTAATATCTTTTTTCACATTACATCGAAATGCTATCAAATCTAACCCTAAATTCAACACTTTTAATAATTAAATTCATGTACCAGAATTAAAAATATCAATTTTCAATACGTCGTAATTTTCATTATTTACCAACTCTATCCATACCATCCACTTTATCACTCTAGTCGGCAGCTCTATTGGATTATGCAGAATGAACAGTGTACGTATGAAGGGTGCAAGTCATCAGATGCTTCAGGGTGGTAAAAGTCTCATATTGTTATTTAAAATATCTGGCGTATTCATGGTTTTCTATCATATAGTGCTGAATAATCTCTCACTTTCATCACATGATTTTCAAGATTTGAGTCACTAAGGCCATTGTTAAGCAAATGAAATTGTTCTTCGTAGGACACTTGTTCGTTTTACTGACTGGGAGTCAGTAAGTATAACATTTTCACTAGCACCCAATAATATGTTTTGATGTACATCTCGATGGAAGACTTTCATATCATAAATACTTCTTAGGTTAAGGAACTGTAAAGCATGACACTTCCAGGTGATGTTCACTTCAAGTACCATCCATGTCAATCATATGTACTGTTAAAGATGAACCTGTATCTAAATACTTCTTTAGATGATTTCTTATAAATTTTGAGTCGATGTATGAAAGTTGATGGTACATCTTTGTGCTTTCATTGAAAAAAGACGCAAAACCAATCTTGAAGATGGTCACAGACTCTTATCGAAAGTCATTACATAAAAATAAAACCCAATAATGCAAAGAGTTCACGTAATTGTTAGTGTTGAATAAGGATGATAATGTAATCTAATAAATGAACTCGTCTTCATCAGCAAACCTTTCTTTTTTTTTACTTCAAGAAACGTTTGTACTAACGTGGGAATGTAGGCATATCTGATATCCTCCTCATTAAATACGCTGAGATCTGACTTTCGAGGTATGTCTTATTGTGTGATCCTTCACAACAAGATTCTTATTCTTTTTCCATTTCGAGAGGCTTTCACCAGTTTATTGAATCAAGTCTGCTGCGTTTGTTGACACCGACCGATTTATGGTTAAAAATTCACAAGATAAAATACTGGTCTTACTGACGAAGTATTCCTGATCGACTCTTTCAAACGAAACATTCTGACAAGCTCTTGCGCGTTTATGGAATCTGAAGAAGAGATTAAGTGTCAAAACTTAACATCTGGATGTATAATCTTGAATAGGGATAGGTATAGTATTCCTCTCAAGTTAAATCAATACTTCAGAGGCTTTGTTCATAACTATGAATTTTTTTTCAATAACTTCCAAAGTTTACATATAGAATTCATAGCATTCATAAGTTCATTAACAAAGTAGTAAGTCATGCTGATAAAGCTACCTGACACGGTTTAGAAAAAATCCCGTAAATATGGTGTACTGAAATTAGATAATGCTTTGTATTAACAAACATACCATTAGACCAAAGAGATTTGTGAGATTCTCCAAGAAAGCTGAAACAAAATGAGGGAGGATGAAAAATGGTTATCAAAAATTCGCGTTATTAGGTGGTAACAGGATCTACAATAACGCGAATGTATCTTTGATAACAACAGAAAAAAAAGCATAAAATTAAATATGGTGTAGATATAGATCGCGTGTAAAAGTGAAGCTTGTTACTTGACTAAATACTTTTCGATTATTTTGGTTGAACCGCCTGGTACTCCGAAGTCTGCCGCAATAAGATCAAGGAGGAAATATTGAGTCATCAATATATTGACTCTTGATGATAGTATCTATAGTATCTATATGGTTATCAATATTTTTCAGCTCTCTTTTTAATTGTTAAGTTTGTTTAAGTTCTTGGAACTTCATCCTCTAAATACTTCAGCTGGCATGTGACAGACATGGTTTTGTGATTAAAAGGGTAACACGAATAGGTAAATTGGGAAAGTTTTTTTTTGGGAGTCAGAAGTAAAATTTTCTCCGGTTTCGATTCCTGTTGCGCTGTGATTTTAATTATACCTTTTTAGCTAATAATAGATTTTTATTCTAATTGATAAAACTTTTACCCATCTTTAAAAAAGAAGAAATGGAAAAAGAAACATAATCTGTATCTAAACGTGCTAAGTTTTTCATTATTATAATTATTATAATATTTAATGATTTTTATTTAATTCAATTAAATAGTCTATATTAATGCGTAAATATTTTTTTGTTTAACAAATAAATAATACAAGAAACAACAATACTACATAGTTTTATGGTAAATTAAAACAAAAAAAATAGGAAAAATAATCTGAATTCTGAAAATACAATAATACAATTTAAAAAAACAATTAAATAATATACTGTAATTAAAAATATAATAAAGAATAATAATAATACAATTAAAGAATATAGACAAATTTGTGGACTAAAAATGTCATAAAATTGGTTTTAAATTTCGAAAATAGAAGATATTGCACTTTGGATCGGTAAGTTTCAAAGGCCTCGAAATTTTTTTTTTTGATTTTTTTTCGTTTCTTTTTTTTTTTAGGTTTTGTCTTCGATTTCGCGTCAGATATCGTAATTAAAAATTACTGCAATAATTCTTATTGATTTCTACACAAAGATAAATCAAAATATTGCATAATCTTTGCCTCGATTTTATAATCGTTATCGATTGAATATTTCGCAATATAGGTTATACTGCAAAGCGATACAATGACGATGACCGTAAAACAGACATCCATTATTTAAGAAATAAAATATTTGGGAATTTTACGAGGAAAACGCGATATTTATAGATTTTTTAAATGCTGACGATGGCTAAAATCGTATTATTATTTAGTCGGCGTCTGTCGAATTGTGTATTATGACGAATTATTATGTTAACCATGTATTATTACTTAATTGTCTAATTTTGTATTATAACATAACGATATATTAAATAATAATTAAATTATAATATCACATAATTGAAAATATATAATATAATAATTTAGTTATGAAGTATGATCTTTGGAGCAAATTAATTTTAAACGGTGGCTGCATAAATATATATCACGAGACATTTTATTAAGGAATGACTCACCAAGCATCCGGGAAAGGATATAATTTTCATACAATGAATTAACTCATTTGTGGATCTATTTAAAATGTACTAATAGTGCGAAAACTATTTTGTCACAATGGTCAACAATGTATATATGATCTCATTGTGCAATCAATTATTAATTATTACCCCGCTTGTTCAAACGAATAAATTTCATATATTCGAACCTATATACAATTGCCCATTGGAACAGCCAAATGTTTAAAGAAAAACCGATTAATCAAATAGATATGGACTCTAAGAGTATGTCCTTTAGATGAAAGATACTTCAAGTTCAACCCTGTAAAAAAAGTCAATCCGTTTTTTTATTCCATCTTTTTTCCGTAAAAGGCTCATATTTCCGGAATTAATAACTTTATATCACGGAATTTATTTGCATTTTCCGTGAATGGATCCGTGAAAGGCTCATTTTCACGGAGTTTTTACAGAAATAACGGATAAAATTTTTTATAGGGCAAGTTTCTTTGGATCTGTTACAAAGAATTTTAGATAAAGTTTGCCATTTTGATTTCGTCTGTATTATTTCTGACATTTAAACTTAACATGTTAATCTGTTAACTCACAGATATTATTTCTTTAGTCCCGTTAACTCAGGATAAATTGATTTCGTGGCATATTTCTATTAACTTGCAAGATAAATAAATATATCCTCTTTCTTTATTATATTGAATCAAATTTAAACAATTAATTGTTGATATTGCGTTTCAACTTTATAGTCACGATAGATTGCTATGTTATTGTGTACTAAATTAATAAAGATAATTTTGATGGTTGAATTAATCATATGCAATGCTAAAGCACATATTAAGGAGTGAAATTTATGCATCTTGTGAATCCTTTTGTTGTACCACACTGTCCACACGTGCGTGTTTGACAGGATCCTGATTTTTTCTATATTAAACGCCCAAACGGTGAGCTTGAATCTTCAGTATAGTTAAATTTCGCGTTGTAACATTTACTTTTAGCACATAATCTAAATCTGCACTTGGTAAGTGAGAAGGAAATTATATGTTTTAAGTTTACAAAACTCCATATTTAAATTGTTTTCTTAGTTATGTTGATAAAGTAACGTGCAGTCAGAAAAGATTTGAAGGTGAAATTGCCTGATAAAAAATATTATCACGGCATGGATTCTTTTATTAGTACAATAGTTTTTAAAGTAGGTGTTATTGGCTTCATATTTACATACAAATAAAAATTTAGTCCCAATTTTACGTCGGGAAAGGAAATTCTTTTCATTTACTCTTAAGGGAGCGCAGGCTATCAAAAATAATGGGTTTACAATTTACCACTTCCAAATCAAAATTATATATCCTAATACCCACCCTGTAAAAAATCTGATCCGTGTATTATCTTTCCATGTTTTTT